GCGGGGTAGGAATTCAGACCCCCAGGCCACGGTTCTTTCTACCAAGTGCTGCTGCCGCCTCCCTTCCATTTCAAGGAACCACAGGACAATACCTTACTGCACCCGATTAAAGCACAGTTGGAGGACTGCAGACAACAGGAAGGGTCCCCTGACATGAATCATGCCAGTCCTCACCTGGGGATGAGCAGGCTGCAGAGCCTCATTCCTCCACCACCCATCCAATCCCCATGTTTCCACTTCTGATGGAGACCCTCCGTGGAAGAGATGAAGACGTGAGCACTGGAGAGGACGAGGGACTCCCTCCACCCCAGCGGGCTGCGCACCCACGCCCACCCTGCCAGGGTGTGGATGTGGACAACCCAGAACCAGGTGTGGGGTCTCCACAAGGAAATCTGCTCTGGTTTGGGCCACTGTAGTCTCAAACGTGCCTTGAAGGCCATGTGATTTGAGGACATGCTCTCAGGAGCCTGGTCTGAAGGAACATAGCCATGAAGGCCCCACTGCTTTTCCCATCTGCTCTGAAACATGCATGAGCAGGATCTGTTACTGCAACACAAAGATTAGGAAACTGAGGAGTGTCTGAGGCTTCCACCACCATCCCTAGTCCTGCCTCATGCATGCCCCACCTGCTGCCCATGGCCCCCAGCAGGTCTGGGGGCGGCAGCCAGGCCTGGCATCCAGGCGCTCCGAACCTCAGGGAGCCCCGAAGGGTTTATGGGGCTCCCAATGAATGGGCCTGTTGAGCTCAGAGGGGGCCGGGCCCGAGTAAACATGACTGGGTCTGAGCTGCCATTCTCCCCCTGCCTCCTTCCCCAGGACCCAGGACCAAAATATGACTTCCTGTCCCTGGAGCTGAGGGCCAGAATCGCCCCTCAGAGCCCTGGGCTGGGGCCCACTGGAGGAGCACAGCCTGGCCTGCACAGACGGCCCCTGAGGCTGGAGGAGAGAGAGGACCTCAAGTTTCAGATTCATAGGTCTGCATCCAAGACCCGAGCGCCTGGGCAGTTTATGAAGCCCCTTCCAGCCTTGAACTGCCCATCTGTTAATGACAGATTTGCACACTGAGGGCACAAGCAAGGAGGGGACCCATAGGTGAGGGCAGAACAGGCACTGGACCTCAGTCTCCTGCTTCCCTGGCCAGTGAGGATGGAACAGTGGGAAGAGCAGGGGTGTGTGTGTGTGGGTTCAGAGGAGGGAGAAGCTCTGTAGGGGGAGGGCCAGGGCAGCGGGAACTCGACAGGGGGCAAAGGAGCTCTTCCCCGATGGCCACAGCTGTCCCCTGACCTGTAAAGCTGAAATCTGGCCCCGACTGGCTCTGGTCACAGAATGGCCATGCACCCTGGGATAGCCCCTTGGAGCTGCACACTTGGCAATCACCCAGCTCTAGGGGCAGGAGCCTTGTAAGTGCTGGTTGTCATGGTCTCACTGTCTACTCTCTAGGCCTCATTTTCTCCACCTGGAGGCCAGGTGTTGACAAGCTCCCTGTCTCCCTTTCCAGCTTGTGAACTAGAAAGTACTTTGGAAACTGTAAAGTGTGGTACCCTTCCCAGGAGCCTGGAAGACCTGGAGAGAGGTCGCTCTGGGGATGGGGGCCCTAGGAACGTGTCCCAGCAGTTTGGGGTGGTTTGGGGTCAGCTGTCTCACGTGCTGGGCACTGGGGGCTACGGTTGGAATGTGCTGAGCAGCAGCTGCCACGTCAATCATTACACCTCGTCAGGTTGAGCCTGGGACTTCCAGACACAAACCAGCTTGGGCTGGACTCAGGTAGGAGGGCAGCCTCCCACCAGGGTCTCGGGGCCCTGGGGTGAGGTTCCAGGATCTTGCATGGTCTCTTCCTCCCCATCCTGTCCACGTCTTCACCCTCAGTGTCCAGATCCAGTCCTGTTTCTGCCACAGCTCATTCCACAGAAATACATAGGGAGGTCATCCTGTCCCCGTCCCCCTGCCTCTGTGACCTGTAACTGCATAAGCAGGTCCTGAGCCTGGGTGGCACTAGGGGGGCAGCCAGAAAGGGCTTCCTGGCAGCTTTCCCAGCAGGAGCCCATATTCCAGTGGACAAGGAGTCAGATATGGTGTGGCTGTGGGGCTGCAGGGGTCAAGAAGAAGGCTGGGTGGAATGAGGATTCCCACATCTCTCCTGGCTGGGGGATACTGGGTACCCAACGCTGGGAGGTCAGACCTTCTCAGGTCTGTTTTCCTGCCTGCGACCTGGGTATGAACTACCCTCAGCCTCTATCTGATTTCTCCACATGCCCAAAACTTGAATGAAGTCACTCATGGGGGTTGTGCTCATACGTTGTGATGGCCTGAAACTTCTGAAGGCCAGAAGGGGCAGACAGGGACACAGGAAGAGACAGAAGGAGAGTTAGTCAGAGAGAGGCTTGGTAGGGCAGGAGAGGACCAGTGAGGCACACACACACCTGAGGAGCTGAGCTGGCCTGGGTGTCTGGCAGGCAGATCAACGGAGGGGGAGGAGAGCCCAGCCCAGGGCACCTGAACACTGGTGTGCTTCGACCTGCCTCTGCTCCCTGACCAGGGGGCTGGGACAAAGTCCTAGGCTGGTGCAGGGCTTGGTAAAAAATAATTAATTTTTCTTTTTAAGTGAAAGCTCTGACTCAGGCCTTTTCCTGTCCCGGACAGAAACATCTTTGCTTAGGCCTGAACCACAGAAGCTGCTCAGGACTATCCCATGGCCTCCCCATGGCCAACCTGAGTCTACTCTGCAGCCACAGGCCCTACTTGGAAGGCCTTGTGAGCTCCAGGTGAGTGGGGTCTAGGGGAGCCCTGGGATCTGAGCACAGCTGGGAGGGCAAGGCTGTGTGGCACCCCAGTGGGTTAGTGTGTGTGTACCTGTGCAGTGCCGTGGGGCAGACAAGGCACCTCTGCATGGAGATGTCTGTGGATCTGCCATTACCGCAGCAGGGGGCCTGTGACCATGTGATCAGAAAGGACAGGAAGCCCACACCCCCAGCCACCCCAGGAGAGCTCCTCACCTGGGGCAGAGCCTCCCGGTCCCCTGTGCCCCTGGTGTCCCTCCCTTCATCTTCCTGAGAAGCAAGAAAGCCAGGCTTCCTGCTGCAAGGGGAGGGGGCTGCCCAGCGGCCAGCTGCTGTGGGAGCCTCCAGTGACTCATCCGGGTGGGGGGTGTTTATGAGCAGCCGAAATGGCTGTAAAAGTGGCACCTCGGTTCACTTACGGCCTGGCCATCCCCTCCCCTACCAGCCCCTTGCCTTGAAAAGCTTCCAGAGTGGCCTGGAACCTGAGAGAAGTCTGGGATTGAGGCTTGGTGGAGGATCAGCCCGGGGTCAGGGTTCAGCTAGGGGTTAGAGGTCAGAATGGGATAAGGACTCAGCCTGGGGGTAAAGGGCAGTCTGAGATCAGGGTTGAGATTGGGATTCGGGCTGACTTTGGGGCTAAGGTTGGGAGATGAAGTGTTGGGGGTCTGCGGGCAGTTTTCCCAGAGAGCCCCCAGGTTGTGGCAAGGGGTTTTCTGAGGGAGTGAGGCCAGGCTGTAGAGCTCAGAGAGCTGAGCCGCTGTCTTTCCTGTTTGAGTCTGGTGCCCACCCTGGCCCCAGGGGCTGTGTACCTTGGCCAGAGCCCTACTCCCCTTGGCGGTGGTGGTAGCAGAGGCCTGTCAGCCTAGGGCCGCTGCTCCAGTTCTGAGCTCCAGTGACCGCTTGGCTCCTCCTCCTAGGCCCCAGCCTAGGGATCAGAGAGGGGCGTCCTCACAGGGACTCATTCCCACTCTCCACCCCCAACCAGGCCTTTCCAAACTCCATTGAAACTGACCTGAAACTGACCAGAAACTGACCCTGGGGCCCTGTCAAAAAGGGCAGGCTGCCTTTGCCAGGCATAGGGGTGCTACCAGTTAATGTGTGACACCCCCACCCCCATGGTGGCACTTTAACCAGAGGCCTGGGGGTGAGTTAGGGGATCAGGGGCCCTACCTGCAGTGGAGGAATGTCCAGCAGGGGACTCTGGGGTGAGGCACATGAGTTATGACTAGGGAACACCCTTAGGGGCCCGGAACCCATCAGATCCCTCTCTGCAGCCCTATTCACAGCCCTCCCTGGTCCTCCTAAGTACAAATATTGTTTGCTTCCCAATCTCAAGCTTCCTGGTGTCAAATCTGAGGAGGACTCCCTCCATGAGCCCCTCAGTTCCCCCAACCCCTCCGTGAATGTTCTTTTGCTATCACTGAGGTAGGGCACTGGTCAGTAGTCATCAAACCATAAAACTTAGAAGAGAACCACTTAGAACAGACATAAAGATGAGATCATCAAAATATAACACTGAAGAACCACTTGTGTTCTTTAGGTGCCCACTCTGGTCATTTGGGCCTCTGTTCCCGTTCCCAAAGAGCCCACACACGATAGGGGGCAGACCCCAAATCCCAGCCGCCCGCCCGCGTAATGGAGCAAATGGGGGCACAAGGAGGGAGGGAAGCCCTCTACATCAGGCAGAGGAGCGCAATCCTGGGAGAGAATACTACAAAGCCAGGCAGGGGAGTGAACATGGGGAGAAGGCCAGGTGTCTCATAGACAGTACTCCTGGAGATAGTTATCTTTGGAGGAAACTGCCTTAAACGACACATTCCTTAAACACCAGGACAAGAAACTTGAGCGTAATGGGGCACAAAGGAGGGTATGGCCATAGAAATGTATGGAAAAAACAGCTGTGGGTTCAGTCTGGGAAACGGGTGGGTTTGAGCCTGGAGAGAGGTGGGCTGCCAGGAGGGTTGGCTACAGCTGGATTCCAGTGGCCTCAGGGCTTGGGCTTGGGGACCCATTCACATTGAGGGGAGGGGCCATACCAGAGATGAAGAACAGGTTTGGGGGTTTGGGGGAGCTTATTTCTACAAGCTGAGTCTGGGGAGCCTCAGAGCCCATATGGGTCTGCACACCCACCCTCAGATGCACCAAAACAATGAAAAGTGTCCTGTGAATCAGTTGTTCAACTCCCCATTTTGCAGATGAGGAAACTGAGACCCAGACAGCGGGAGAGTCGTCCTGCCCAGGATACACTATTGGTAAGCGGGTGAGCAGGGGCTGCCATTCAGCCCCGACGATGTTTCCCAGGGCCCTGACAGTCACATTAGCTTCCTCCTTAAAGCCCTCCGCTCCAGAAATCCCCAGGCCCAACCTGCACCTCAGCTTCGCCGCCTGGTACTGAGAGGCAGTAGGCTTGGGGTCTGAGGCCCCCTCCTCTTAGCACTCCAGTGGTCCCTCCCCGGCCCAAGTAAGTCCCGCCCCTGTCCAGCCCCTGCCCCAAAAGACTCCTCCCGCCCTTCCCCAGAATTGACGGTCCCGAGTGGACCAGAGCCGGCCAAGAGCCTTTGGGGGTGTGAGGGGGTGGGAGAGGGAGGCGGAGCCCCATGGCGGGGGTCCGGGCTGAGCTCCGGGTCTTGCGGCCTCGAGGCGCCCGAGGTGGAGTCAGGGGCGGAGCTGGAGAGGCGAGGCCGGCGTCTGGATGGGTCGGGACTCGGAGAGACCTGGACCCGGGGAGAGGCTGGGGAGGGAGAGAAAGGGACGTGAGGCCGGAGACACCAGCAAGGGCGGGGGCGGGTCTCCGGCTCAGCGGGCCGACCCACTCGGGAGGTTCCCGAGCCTGGGGGTCCAGGAGAGGGCGGGGCGGGGCGGGAGGGCCGCGGCGGAGCCAAGCTCCGGGCGGGCGGCCGAGCAGCCTCCCCGGGGACCCCGGTCCAGCTCGAGCGGGAGTCCCGGGGGCGAACGAGCAGCGCCGCGGCCGGGGCGCGGGGTACCTCCCGTGAAGAGGGCCTGCTTCTTCGCGGCTGAGGGCCCCTGTTCACCAGCCTGGGCCGGACGATCAGAAAAAATAACGTCTGTGCCTTCCCGGAGAAGAGAATCAAGCGGCGGCAGCGTCCGGGCCCACGTTCCCGAGCCCCGATGTCAGAGCTTCCCGGGCCCCGTTCCCTCCACACTCACATCCCGCCGCTGTGCGACCCCGGGCCGCGGCCTCTAGAGAAAATGTCCCGGGGCAGGGGGCACCGGGCTCCGTCCGCTCGGCCGCTCCACACACCCTTGTCGAAGGCGACGGAGGGGAGGCGGGGGCGGGAGAGGCCCGGAGTGGGCGCGGGGGAGGGAAGCGGCGCCCGGGCGCGGGGGGGAGGGGGAGCGCAGACGCCGAGGCGAGGGACGCGCTCCGCGGGCGGCGGCTCCGAGCGGCGGCCGGGCGGGGGGCGCTGGAGGCCAGGCCGGCCAGGGGGGGATCCCGAGAGCTCCATGAAGTACCCCCGGGGCCGCGGACGGGGCGCTGTCCTGGGGAGGCTGTCGGGGTGTCCCCGACATCCATGGCTAGGCGGGGGCCGCGGCGGCGCGCTCGGAGTAAGTCGGGGTTGGGGGCTGGCGCCAAGGGGAGGGGGCCAGAGGTGGGTGGGGGTGACCTGACCGGGCGGGCGGGCTGGTCTGTCTCGATGTCAGTCGGCGGCGCCTCCTCGGAGCCCGGTGGAGTCGCCAGCCCCGCGCCGCTCGGCTCCGTGGCTTTTTTGGAAACTTGCAAATGTTTTCGTAGAGAAGAAGGAGGAGGGGAGAGAGGGAGCGAGGGAGTGACCGAAACGGAGCTCGGGGCTGCTGGAAGAACGGAGGCCAAGGCCGGGGGAGCTAGAGACGGACTGACAGACAGGCCGACGGACAGAGCGTCCCGGCCGCAGGCGCGCTCCAGCGGCGCGGGCGCAGGCGGGGTTCCGGCCGAAGATGGGGAGGGGGTACTGGAGGCGGCCGCCGACGGGATGGGGATCTGAGCGGGCCGAGGGGCAGGGAGCTGGCGGCTCGATCACCGAATGGCTCAGTGTCGTTGCAAAGTTGGGATCGCGTCCCCAAGCTGCACACCGCGAGCGGCTGAAAACGCGCCCCCAGCCCCGCCCCCTCCCCCTACTTGCGTTAGCCGCGGAGCTAAAAATAACAGCCCGTTCGCCCCCCGCAGACCGCGACCCCAACCCCTCCCCCGACCCCTCCCCCACTGGGCGTGGGGCGAAGCCACAGCTCCCAATTCCCCAAAAGAAAAAAAAAAAAGAAAGGAAAGGCGGCGCGGGGGGGGGGGGAGCGCGGGGGGCGGGCCGGGGGCGGGGGGCCCGGCCATATGGATGTGATTTCTCCGCTCCGAGGCAGACGGGCAGCTCCGCAGCGCTCGGCGCCCGCCCGCCGCCCGGCCGGCCCCCGGCTGCCTCCCTTCCTCCCTCCCTCTCTCCTTTGCGCTCGCTCGCTCTCTCGCCCTCGGCGCATGGGCCCCGCGCCGGGCCCCGGGGCCTCGGGCCGCCGGGCCGCCGGGGTCCCCTAGGCCCGGGCGTGGGCGGGGCAGCCGGGCCTGACGCAGCTCTGTACCCCACCACCAACACCAGGGCCGGCGGCGGTGGCTGGCCCGAGGGTCGGGGCCCTAGGCAGTGGCGATGGGGGCCGCCCGGATCGCGCCCGGCCTGGCGCTCCTGCTCTGCTGCCCCGTGCTCAGCTCCGCATATGCGCTGGTAAGTTCCCCGCCGGCACTCCAGGACAGGCTGCGGTCTTGCTCTGGGGTCCCTGGGGTGGGTCCAGGGTCCAGAGTCATGGGTTCCCCCAGTAATTTGAACTTTGGGTGGGGGTCCCCCCTCACCCGGGATCCTCGATGCCTGCTACCTCTGGGATGTCTGGATTCTGGGTTCCAGACTCCTAAGGTCTCCCTATTTCCGAAGCCTGGGTTTGGGGTCTCAGGTCTGGAAATCTAGCTTTTGCTTTTATGAGCACCCCTGCTCTGGTTGTGTCTTCCTGGAAGATGACAGTGTGATCCACCGAAATACTGGGGTTTGGCCTTGATGTAAGGTCCCACAGACTTTTTGTGGGGGCCTGTGTTTTCTGCAAGTTTTGTTTGCAATCTGGAACACACGGCTGTGAGTCTGAGTTCTGAACCACCCAGGTGGGGGCTAGGATTTAGGGACCCCCTCCAGCTCTCATGATCGCATGCATGCACACACACATGCACTCATGCCCAGCTTTACCCAGAGTGGAAGCTGTTTGCCCAGGGAGGCGAGTGTGGTGTGGCACGGAGGAGGGATGGAGGTTTAACTTTGCAGAACACTCCTATAGGAGAAACACACTGGAGGGGGACTGTGAGTCAGGGAACTCTGGGAAGGTGGCGGGACTCCCATCTGTACCCTCCTGAGAGCAGAAGCCAAGAGGGAACCAAAGGGAGAAGGAGACAGAATGGGAGATAAGGCTAGAGAGCAGGAAGAGAGAGACAGAGACAAAGACGGGTAGAGATGAGAGCTCCCCAGAGCGGGAAGCATAGACAGACCAAGAAGAGCAAAGAAAAATAGGGAGAGACTGGGAAAGCTCAAGAGCTGGAGACACGGAGGGGCAGCACCCTCCTCATCCTGGGCCAGGGTCTGGGGTCCATTTCCTGGGGAGTCAGTCAGATCCCACAGCAGCCCTATCCCAGGGGACCAGCCCATAGCTGAGGAGGCTGTCTGCCTGTGTGTCTGACTTCAAGACCTCTGCTGCCACCCCCCCTACCCCACTCCTCCCAGGTGGGGGCATCTGCCTTCTAGAAAGAAAGACAAGCAGGTACCCTCCTTCTCCTGACCAGCTCCCTACCTAGGCAGAGCCAAAAGTGGGAAGGCGGGAGCTATGGGATTCTTCCACCTCTGCCTAATACCTGCATAGCCTTGGGTGGTTCTTCTCCACACCTCAGTTTCCCTATCTGTAAAAAGACAGCAAGAAAGAAACTTTTGCCTAAGAATCCCCTGATCTGAGACTCTCCTTTCCTCTGTGGGTCTCAGCACACCCCACCCGCTGGTACCCATCCCCTTAGGACTCTGGCTCCTGAAAGCCAGAGACATTGCCCCTTACAAGAGCTTGTAGATGGAGAAACCGAGTTTCAGAGATGGTCCAAACAGTGGTAAATGCTACGGCCCAGAGCCATTTCCCCACCCTCCCCTGGGGCCAGGCTCACCTTTCCCAGGGCCCCTTCTGGGGTGTGTGAGCACAGCCACTGTGCAGAGCCAGCCAGCGGGTCTGTGTGCACATACGTGTGCATGTGACTGTGGAGGCGTAGACAGGGTGATGGGTATGGGTGCCCTGAGAGTAACATCTGTGCCCAGGGCTCTCGGGGGCTCTGGCATGGCATTCTCTGGGTCTGTGTGAGGGTGAGTGTCGGAGTCCACGTGAGTTCGTGTGTCTGAAACTGTGGGTCTGCACATGACTTGCAGAAGCATAGTTGTGTGTGCATGTATGTGTGCATTTGTGAGCACACGTGCACCCAGGTCTATTGTTTTCTTATTTTTATTTAATAAATGCTTCTGTAGTGCCACTTTCCAGACATTGTTCTAAGCATTTTACAATATTAACTATTTTAATCTTTATAACAACCTTCTGAGAAAGGTTCTGTTATTGTCCCCGTTTTTTAACTAACGTAAATCACACAACCAACATGACCATTATTTATTGCATGCCAACCAAATGCTAAGCTGTGTGCCTCTGTGTGTGTGTGTGTGTGTGTGTGTGGTGGGGGGTTACGGGTCCCAGAGCCCCATACTGATTTCTGGGGAAGCTAAGGCACGTGGGGAGAATTTGCCTGGCTTAGCCCTGGCCTAAGGCTGAGGGCAGGGCAGGAGGAGGGATGCCAGGGTTGAGTCTCTTCTGGGACCTTGTTGAGGACCTGTGGCTGGACACTTCGGAGTGCACTGGAGCCTCCCTGGCTTCAGGGCTAGAGGATAGGGTCACCTGATACCATGCAGGCCCCCTGGGCTCAGCTGGAGCCAGGGAGAGACTGACAGCCTGCCAGCTGCCTCTTCTGAATGCAGGGGCTGCCGCTCCCACCCACATGTGCACTGGTGCCCACCAAGCCCACCAAACTCAGCTGATTGCCTCTGTCACCAAAACTGTATGCTGTTTGCCCAGCCACCCCAGGACCAGGCTCACATCTCCAGGGACCTCACGGTTGGGGGACCAAAAATCATCCCATTGGAAGGACACTGGCTGTGGCCAGACTCAGCCGGTCCATCTTGTGCCTTACAGGGAAGAGTAACTGTGAGGCTGGGGATCAGGTGGAGTGAAGTTTGGAGAAAGGGATGGACCCACAGATTGTGAGTAGGGGGCCAAGGGGTGGTCTTATCGTTGGGGATGCCTCATCCTAAGGACACCCTGAGCATGCACACATGTGAAGGAGAGACTGCAGTGGGAAAGGGTGAAGGTCAGTGTAGGAGGCAGACCTTGAATGTCGAGATGTGACCTTGGGGTCCGACTCAGGAGAGACTGTGGTGGGTGAGAATGTTGGAGACCCTTGCAGCCTGCTCCAGGAGCAGTTCAGCCACGAGGCTCACTTTTAAAGACAGGGAGGAACCAACATGTATTGAGCAGTGACTGTCCCCAGATTCTGAGCTAGACACTGTCACAAATGGTTTCTCACTCCATGCGTTCACCCATTTTATGGGAAAGAGCCCTGAGGTTCACACAGTGAGTCTGTGGCAGAGGCGGGATTTGAACCCAGGTCTTCAGACTCTTGCACTGAGCTTCTTCCTCCAAAGCAGGGTGAGGGCTCATGCTGGCAGAAGAGCCCTGTGTCCCACGCTGGGTTTTCTTTTTCTTCCTTTTCTTTCTTTCTTTCTTTCTTTCCTTCCTTTTTTAAAAATAAAATCCTTCTGTTATTTAATTTTTATTTATTTATTAATTTATTTTTGAAGAAGATTGGCCTTGAGCTAACGTTTGCCGCCAATCCTCCTCTTTTTGCTGAGGAAGACTGGCCCTGAGCTCACATCCATGCCCATCTTCCTCTACTTTATACGTGGGACACCTACCACAGCATGGCGTGCCAGGCGGTGCCATGTCCGAACCCGGGATCCAAACCAGCGAACCCTGGGCTGCCGAAGCAGAACATGCAAACTTAACCGCTGCATCACCGGGCTGGCCCCTATTTTCTTATTTTTAATTTCATAACTAATACTTGAATATGTACTTTCTTATAAATGAGCCAAATAGTACAGATTAAACAGAATTCATCCTTGATTACTCCCAAGCTCCTTCTCCCGTCTAGGGAAAATCATTTTTAACAGTCTGGGTGGGAGATGTCCTCCCGGACATTTTTCTCTGTTTTCAAAAGGTACTTCGTGTGTACATATAAAGTAGATAGTTTTGTTGTGTTTTCTGTTTGTTTTTAAATAAATGTTATCAGTTTGTAGATAGGGCTCTGCAATGTGCATTTTTCTGCTTAAAGGTGTGTCTTGGAGATCTTATGGTCAGTAAGTATAAATCTATCTTTTTTTAATGCAGCATAGTATTCTAGAATCTGGAATTCATTAGGCAGTCCCTAGGAATGTATATTTAGATCGTTTCTGCATAACTTTCGTGTGTGTGTGTGTGTGTGTGTGTGTGTGTGTGTGTGTGTTTCCAGATGGTGGCAGGGACGCTCCTTGAAATGCCCTCTCCTGTCCCCGTGTAGGATATTTCTAGATTCTGTCATTGCTGGGTCTGAGAACATACACATTTTTTACTTTAATAGACACGGCCTAACTGCCCTCTAAAAAGCCGGTGCTGGTTTAGACTCATACCACCAGGAGTGACCCAGAGGGCATCTTCCCACGCCCTCTGTCTCATAGGCTAGGATAAGGATTTTCTTCACCTTTGCCACTCTGATAGGTGAAAAATGGTGTCTCTTGTCATTTTAATTTGCCAATTACCAGTGAGCTTTTGGACTTTATGTTGGTTTATTGTCCATCTTCTAAGAGCTTGCTCAAAGCCATTACCCATCTTTCTATGGGTTATTTGTCTTTTTCGTATTGATTTGTTGAAGCTTTTTATATCACCTGCCTTTAAACCCCCCCTCCCCCAGCTCTGGGAACTGTCTGTGGACAGAGCAGCAGGAGGGGGCCAAGCCCTCCCGGGAACTTGGGTTTTCTTCGGAATGTTTTAATGAGGCGTCAAGCGGCCTCCCCCAGATTCCTGTTATGGGCCTTCTGGGGACACTCCCTGGTCCAGCCACCATGTCAGGAAGGCAGCTTGTTCGCAGAGAGTCCCCAGGAAAAAGAAATGGTGGGATGAGGGTTTTGCAGACTCCTGAAATTGTCTGCAAAATATAGTGTGACAGGGAGAGGGGCAAAGTTTTTCTCAGATTCGCAGAGACATCAGAACCTCCAGACCCTTAAGAGTGCCAGCTCTGGGACCAGCCTTGTGCAGAGGTGAGACCTGGGGGGATCCTATTCTGCTGACCCGGCTATGGTTAGGTTAGGCCATCCTGTCTTTCTGGGCCTTGGTCCCCCAGCCCAGGTAGAGGCTGCTTGTGAAGATCCACGGGGTCCTAGCAGCCAATTCCGCCATCCCAGGCTCCATCCCACCGCCTGCCCCCAAGGCGTCCACGCTGGCCAGGATGAGAGGCGTCACAGTGCCTCCCCCCAGCCCCTCCCAGCCCTGAACACAGGCAGCCTGTTCAGGAAGGCCTGGCGAGGGGGAGGAAAAGTCAGCACTTGTCAGTGGTGGCGGGGCAGGAGTGTCCCCGGCAAGGAGCCCGTCCCAGCCTGCTAGGACCAGCCGGACAACGGAGGGCAGCAAGGGGTGGGGAGCAGTTCCTAGCCAGTTGGCATGGGAGACATTGAGGGGTGCCAGCACAGGTCCCAGTAGTGGAACCTGGAGAGGAGGTGCAGGAAGGCCAGGAGGTCACGAAGGGGTCTCCTGTCAGTCAAGGTTTTCTCGTTATGGCTTTTCTGGAGGCACAAACTCTCCTTGCTTCTAATAACCAGGGCACAACTGTCTTCTGCCCAGTTAGAGCTGAGCACAAGCTGCCATCACCAACACCATCACCATCTGATCACCTCCACGTCTACCTCCCCCCCGAATTACCTCTTTGGAGGCTGCCTTAGGTGCTCTGCAAAGAGGGGCTTCCTTGACTCAGAGAAAGATATAACCCAGAAGGACCCTGTGGAAAGCTGGTATTGAGGCTGGCACTAGGGGTCCGTGTGGCTGGGTCCTTCGTCCTTTCTTTCCTTTCCTCCAGGGTTTCTGCTTCACGTCAAGCAGACCTTAGCTCCAGTCCTGGCCCTCTTCTTTCTCACTGTGACTCTTAGCCTCAGTGTCCCTGTCTGTAGGATGGGATGTGGTGGAAGGTAAAAGAGGTGTGGTTAGTAGCTCCAGGGGCAATGGCTAGTGTCAACAGGCAGAGAGGTCCAGGGATGACCCAGGCAGATTTGCTTTCTCTAGAGGGAAACAAGAAGCCAACAGCCACCTTCCCCCAAGGAGACTAGGCTGAACCCCGATAGAGGGAGGGATGAGATGACCCAAGAGGGCATCGGGGGCTAACACCAATGGAAGAAGCCCCTTTCCCAGAGGCAGAGGTGTCAGCAGCTGAAGAAGGATCCCTTGTATTTCCCCCTTTGTTTTGCCTGGAGGAGGAGAATTTAGGGATGTCTGGGATCACAGACAGCAAATGTGTGGAATTTGGCAGTTAGGAGAGGAATGGAGAGGAGTGGCCCTCATTTGGTCAGTGGCATGGAACTGGCTCTCTCCATCACCAGTGTCACCATCACGCCTCCATTACCATCACCAGCCTTGACATTGCCACCTCACTGTCTTCACCTCCACCCCCCCTGCCACCATCACTGCCATCCCCAACTCCAACACCATCCTCAGGGGTCTCCCTGGGAGCTGAGTTACACGGAGCTGCTTGCCCTGCCCCTCCCCCACCCCTCCCCAGCGGGAGGGGCAGTGAGCAGATGGCTTTTATCCTCCTCTGGGCTTCTGAACTCAGGAAATGAGAAATGCATCCGGGCCTCTTGACCACACACTACTCTCTCCCTGGGACAGCAGCTTCTATGTTTGTAAATAACATACTGGCTTCTAGCCCCAACCTGCACCCTGCCTGGAGTGCCACAAACACCCGCTCAGTGCTCCCAGACTGCCTCTCTCCCTGTTCCCCCAGCTCCGGGTTAAGGTCAGGTCATCAGCGCATCCCCTGCATGTTCATGAGCTGCACATCATGCACACATGTGCACACAGGAAGGTTCCGTGTTGGGGGGTTGAACATGGGGAAAGTGTGCTACACGGGGGGACACTGAAGTCGAGCCCTACAATGGTTAGGTTAGGGAAACTCAGCCCCAACCCAAGACCATAAGAGGGATGTGGGGGGGATTTGGGGCACCTGCAGCCAGGATCTGGTGGCCCCATTAGAGGTGGGTGTGGACTAACTGACCCCAGGCTGTGACCCAGCCCCAGGTCCCTCAGTCCTCACCCCTGAGACCCAAGATCTGCAGACTCTCTGGATCTAAAATGATGCAAGTCTGAGTCCCCTGCACCAGGAGCTGGGCTAAGAAGATCCAAACTCTGCAGGGGGAGAGGGGCTGGTCGGGTCGGGGGAGGGAGCAGCAGACGAAGTCGCCAGGCAAGGAGGAGAACAAGAGCTGTCAGCGTTTTCCTAGGCACCCCCAGGAGAGAAAGCCTCTTCAGAGCAGAGGCAGAGGAGGGGCCCTCTTGTCCCTCAAGCCCAAGCTTGGCGGGGCATGGCAGTGACCTTGAATCTTCGTGTGGGTCCAGGGCAGATCCAGAAATGCAGGGAGTTATTAGGATGTCCTTCTACCCCAAAAGCTTGCCAGCCATACCTCACCCTGCAGGAAGTCCTGTATTCCCTGTTCCAAATCCTCCCTGGTGTCCCACCTCCCATCCGCCCCTCCCTGCAGCCCCCTGGACTCAGTCATCTACCCAGACAATTTCCCCCTGCCACTTTCGGTCCCCAGTCTGGGGGCACCCACGGCACCTGGCTGCAGGGGGCCCCATAGTCAGCATGGGGAGCCATGACTTGGTGCTGCTGCTAACAGTAGCAATAATAGCAACCACTCCTGCCCGGGCTTTTCATGCAGTACCTCATTTAATCCTCACAACAGCCCTATCATTATCCTGATTTTACAGGTGGGAAACTGAGGCACAAAGGTTAAGCAGCTTTCCCAAAGACACAAAGCCCGTCAGTGGTGGAGGTGGGATTCAAGCTCCAGTGCTGGTGGCAGAATCTCCTCGGATGAGGAGAGGGTGCAGCTGGAGCGGGGGTGAACATTCCAGCCAGGGGAGCTGCACTCTAGGGCAAGTGGCAATGCACTGGCGTGGAGCTGTCCTCCTCTCATTGGGAAAGTGCTTCCTTCACTCTGGCCCGAATTCCTCTTGCTGCAATGGCACTTCAGCCCTGATTGGGTGACAGAGAAATGGGTCCTACAGTTCAGAGAGGCCAGAGATGGGGCCTCTGTCCCTGAGGATGAATGAAGGAGTGTGGGGGCCATGGGGTGCTGGAAACACGTACCTTCCCCTCTCCTGGGCATTCCCAGACCCACCATGGAAACGAGACTCCAGAAAGGAGAGTATGCCCCCTCTGGGCCATGGAGAGGGTGAAGCCAACAGTAGTCGGTGGAGGCTGAGCAGATGCTTTGGGCCTGTGAGAGAGTTGGTCAGTTCCTGGTCATCACCCAGCTAGCACACCTGTCTGTCTGTCTGCCACACAGGCTGTTTTCAACCCATGACTGCCTGCCTTTCATCTAGGCCATCAGCTGTGACCCTCAGTCACATACGTGGGTTAGTCTGTCTATAGAGAGGGCTGGTGGAAGCCTCAGTCAGTCATTCAGGAGCTTTCCATCAGCTGGACAAAATATGGTACATTATCTGTGTTGAGAAAGATGGCGGTGGGCAGAAGGAGAAGGGGTGGTGGGGAAGGGGACATGGGAATGGGACAAGGATAAGACGATGGCAAAGGTGGTACTGACAGTGGTTATGGGGTTGGTGGCAACATTGGTGATGGCAGTGATGGTCTTAATGTTGCCTTTGGCGGTAATGGTGCTGGTGGAAATAGCACTGGTGGTGATGATGGTCATGATGTTCTCCCAGTTGCGATGACGCTGATGGTGATAACTGTGGTTATACTGATGGTAACAGTAGTTAGTGCTCATAGTGGGAATGGTGCTGCTGCTCCTGCTGCTGATAATATTGGTGGTGGTGATGGGGGTAGTGGTGGTGATGGTGGTGGTGGTGATGGTTGTGTTGGTGGTGCTGGTCAATTGATGATGGTTGTTGGTGCCGGTTATTGAGGGAGGTACTAGTTGCAACAGTGGAAATGGTAGTGAAGGGGTGCTGTAATGGGGGTGGGGTGGGCAGGGCAGCTACGCAGGGGTCAGACCCCTCAGCAGCCTGGATCCCCAGTGCCGGAGGCACAAAGAGTACTTCAGGAGCGCCCCCCCCCCCCATTAGGGCAGGCCCTAGCTGTCCTCCCTCAAGCCCCATCCCCCTTGTGGCCACTGCAGCCCCAGCCTGCTCAGCCATAGCTGAGGAAGCAGGCCAGAATAGAGGAGCTGTGGGGGGGGGGGGGGGGGGGGGGGGGGCGGGTAGCAGCCAGCACATGGGAATCTGCTCTGTCCCTTTCTGGAGGCCCATGGGTGTTGGGTCCAGCTGAGATCTCAGGGTCCAACTCAGACTGCAGAGACACGCAGAAGCATGGACACTCAGACAGACATGTTAAGGAGCAACCGCATCATACACTCGCAGACCTTTGACCAGAAACACATGTACACGTGCACGTTCACAGATAACCTCAGGCTCACATCCCAAACGTGCATGCTGGACAACCCCCACGTGAGAACGCACAGAGACAGGGGCACACACAAGTGCACACACCGGCCTGACAGTGAGTGCGCGGGGATGCGCCGCCACTCACACGCGCACGCGCAAAGACGCGCACTCGCCTCCGCTAAGTGAAACCAGCAGAACCCAAGTCCGGCCGAGCCAACTGGAGACTCCTTGGCCCTGGAAGCCCTTGCTGCTGCCACCAAGAGACGCGGTCAATTAACTTCTCCCTGCAGCCAGGCTCCCTGACTCGCCCGGTTGGCCAGCCCGCCCCCACCCGCTGGTGCCCGCCCCTTGGACCCGCCTCCTTCCTTCCCTGCCTCCTCCTGGTTCTCCCGCCCTGCCAGGGCATGTCAGAGGGGATGCAGCTCTGCCTGTTGAGGCGCTAAGGGGACCAGGATCTGCCTTGTGAAGTCAGAGCAGTCACAGCCCTGCCCTGGGTCTGAGGGGTCTCAAGGAGCATGTCACTGTCCTGGGTCTGAGGGGATGCGGCCCTGACCCCGGGGGCGAGGGGGTCTGAGAGGATGCACTAACCTCTTGTGGGTCCCATTCATGGGGGTGGCTGGGCTAGGGCACACTGAGCTGTCCCCAGGGCAGGATGCTGCCCTTATCCTCTGACTCTCTTCCAGTCCTAAGTCAGGGGAAAAGAGGCTCAGGTGAGACCCCACCCTCATCCCCATGATGTTCCTGTCCCCTTAAAATAATGCCAGCCAATGTCCAGGGTGTGCAGGTTGGAAGGAAGGACGTTCCAGGCAGAGGGAACAGCAGGAGCAAAGCCCTGTCCACATCATCAGAGCACATGGTCTGCTTGAATGGAGGGAGCTTCCAGATAAGCAGTGGGATGTGGGTGGCTCCCACCCACAGCCTGCACAGAAGTGCCCGCCCAACCCAGACCACTTGCCAGCAATTCCTCCATCCTCCCTCTCTTGGGACCACAAGGGTGGGAGGGGCTGAGGCACTCACCATTCACTGGGGAAAGCATTGCCTGGGGAGAGGGCCAGCATGGAAATTGGTGTCTCCCAAGGTCCCCCAGGGCACTAGGACTTGAAGGAATCCAGGCCCAATTTGTTTCCCCAGAGTTCACCACTCCTTATCCACCCCCCTCCCCACCCAGGTCCCTAGCAGACAGCCAGGATCCTCTGAGGATCCATCCTGGGACATTCCATCCCTTTCCCATGTACCCTTGGGGAACAGACTGGACAGGGAATATCAGTGGCTACAGCCTATGGGGTTACTAGCGGGCAGGCAGGGGACAGCCCCCCCTCCCCGTCTCTTCCCTTTGGTAGGACAGGCCCTACCCCTTGGAGTGACAGCTTCCCATCTGTAAAATGGGAGCTACATAAGGCAGATTTCCCACATTGTAGAGTCGGGGCCTTTGGAAAGGGGGAAATCCCTTAGGGAGGTTGGGATGGTTGTGGGACCTGCTGTTGCTCTGGGAAGTCCAGTATGTGGTCTGACCTTTGGCTTGGTAGGTGGATGCAGATGACGTCATGACCAAAGAGGAGCAGATCTTCCTGCTACACCGAGCCCAGGCCCAATGTGAGAAGCGGCTCAAAGAAGTCCAGCAGAAGCCAGGTGGGGATAGAGCTGGATGGGGCGGGGCCAAAGGAGGAGGATCTGGGGGCAAGGTCAGGAGAAGGAGGGGTCAGACAAAGGTGTGAGCCCAGGATGCAGAACCAAGTGGCACTAGGGGAGGGTGAGGCCGGGTAAAGGCGGGCCAGGCCAAAGTGAGGACCAAAAGTGGGGTGGGTCAGGCAAGATCAAAGTCAGCAGGCTCAGAGATGTGCTGAGTTTCCCCTCCCAGTGTGGGGGTAAGGCAGTATAAAGTCAGAATCACCCCCAACCAGCTTAGATCCAGTGAGACATGCCAGGATCAGGAGCACTGACTAGAGTGCCAGACCCCAATGGGGCGGGCTGGGACAGCTTCCTGCAGAGCAGTGATCCAAGGCAGAGCCAGAGGGATGAGTAGGTCTTTGAAGGAGGCCACCTGGGCAGAGGGCAAGGCAGAGGTGTCCAGGGTCGGGAGAATCGAAGGTCCGTGGGGCTAGATGGGAGGAGGATAGAGGGATAGGGATGGGTATCTGTGACTCTGTCAGCCATGGCCACTGTCTGGGAGAGGGGGCGTGGCCTGGGGTAGAGAGGGCTTCCGCCCACCAGCACAGCATCTCCATAGGACCCTCTGCCACTGTGAAGTTGGGAGTGTTAAACAGTGAAAATGAAGCTGAGCCAGAGCTGCACTGTGTAAGTCAAGAAGCAGGTGGTGTGGAAGACAAGAGCAAGAGTGTGCAGTTGTGCACCTGACTCCACAGTTCCTACTCCCATCTCAGGCTGGTCTCTTCCTTGAGTCTATTTCCTGGAAGCAGAGATAGGGCCTCATTAGCCCCCATCCAGGCCTCTGATGTGTGTCTGATTTATCTCAACCTGGAAGAGGCCCAGGCTCTGAATGACTGCCCAACAAGCTTCCTCCCCTGGGCTGGCCCTTAGACTCCTGGGGGAGGATGCTGATGCACACCCAGGACATAAGCACATACAGAGACCCACACTCTGTAGCACATGGACTTTGCTTACACTCACAGGGACTCACATGGTCTCTGCAATCAAAGCCCCACCCACACTGGCCCCATTAATGGCTCCCTGGTCCCCTGCCCCAGTCACATCAGGGTCTAGAGGGTCAGGGGCCCCCCCCTCACTCTGGGTCCTGAATCCATCCCTCTTCCTGGTTGTGGAAGCCTGGAGGCATCCCCTACCCCCTCTCTGTTCATGATGGAGCCCCTCTCTTCCTGCTCCACCCCATCCTGCTACCCCCACCCTACTGATGCCCAAGGCTGCAGGCAAGAAAATGGACACAGGCATTCCATCCTGGAGTGTCTGCACTCAGCTTCCCACTGTTGCCACAAACCCCGTCAAGGGAGGGCCAGGAGGCCCTGGCTTGGGCTGTAGCTGAAGGGATGCAAGTCAGATAATGAGGAAGCCTTTTCAGGAAGGAAGAGAGACCTCAAGCATCTCTCCAATGGAGAGAAAGGCCAGGCCCCATCTCAGATGGAGGGCCTCCAGGGTCCCTTGTGGAAGCTGTGCACCCCTTACTCAAGCATCCTAGGGCAGGGGACAGGGTAGGTAGATTTGTCTGTCCACCCTTGACAACTGCACACTCTTGCTCTTGTCTTCCACACCACCCGCTTCTTGAGCTGCACAGCACTCTGGCTCGGCTTCATTTTCACTGTTTAACCTCCCTTGATATCACCACTACTGTCTACTTTTGCCATGCGCCCCCTGGTGGGGCCTTCGCCTCCTGTGTGGACTCTAGCTCCAACTCCCGGGTCTGAGGATACCACCTCTACCCATGTCTTACCCACATTAATGCTCCATCCACTAGTTGGCCCCACACCGCATGGTGTTCATTTGAAACCCCTTGTTGGCAGTGTCCACCTCCTCTGATTACTTCTGCACCTGGCAAGCACTTTACAATTTATAATGCACTTCCTCACTTGTGATCTCAGCTCTCCCAGCCGCCTGGGTGTTAGCAGGGCAGGGACAACCCTAATTGTACAAAGGGGGGTCAGGGGTAGGAGGGTGCCCTGGGTCTCCTGCCCAAGCACAGGTGACAGCCATAACTACCTTGATTTTTCCAGCCAACATAATGGAATCAGACAAGGGATGGGCATCCGCATCCACATCAGGGAAGCCCAGGAAAGAGAAGCCATCTGGGAAGCTCTACCCTGAGTCTGAGGAGGACAAAGAGGACCCCAGGCACCGAGGTACGTCTGTCTGTACTTCCATGCATCCATCTGAGACGGGCTTGGCCCCACCCATCCCACTGCTCTGTCCCCATCAGTGAGCTCATGCTCCTCAGCTCTTGTGGAAAGGAAGAGGCTGTGGCCTCCTGCCCAAGAAAGAGGAGCTGGGAGGAGACAGAGCCGAGGGGGCAGCATTTGAAGGGGGCAGGCAAGCTGGATGGGCTCAGGCTTGGGGAGATGTGGGCAGAGAACTTGCCCCGCACCCCCCGGGGTGGACCTAGGGCTACAGCCCATCTCATGGAGAGAGGTGGCAGTGAACCCCGGAGACAAAGGGCATACACAGAGGGGAGATACACAGAGACAGACAGAGGCACGTGGAGAGAGATTCACAGAGACAGGGAGCAGCTGGGAGAGACCCAGAGATAAAGAGAGGCAGGGAGAGATAGAGAGGACCAGGAGGCACAAACTGAGGGTCTGGGATTCAGTGTGTCAGAGGAGGTGCACCAAGACGCAGAGTGAGGTGGGCCACAGAGGCAGAGCAGGAGAGGAGAGTGGCCGAGGAGGGGTGGGGCCAGAGACAGTGGGACAAGGAGGGAAGAAGAGAAGAGAGGGAGGGAAATGCGGGGCTGCGTTGTCCCTCAGGGAGGTGAGGAGAGACAAACACAGAGCCCAGGCTGCAGCCACAGGGCCGGTTTGAACCGGCTGGGTGGGCAGCAGATTTCAGATGGGCCACATCTGGGAGGCTGTGGTCACCCTGTGGCTCTCCAGGGACCAGAGGGAATTGTGGGCCTGGCCAGGCGGGGCTGGGAATATGGTGCCCAGGACAGAGAGTCTTTCACCAGGCTGGGGTGGGTCCAGCCGTCAAGGCAGCCTTCCAGGGTGGCTGGAGAGCCCTGTGGTTGGAGCCCTGCAGGCGGAAAGAAGGGAGCTGGGGGGTAGAACAGAGAAGATTCAGAGGCTGGGGACCCTTCAAGGTCACTTAGCATTTCTGCTGTGAGGCTGGGGCCCTGAAGTGGGATGTGTCACCTTGCCTTGAATCCCACAGTTAGCACTTAGATGTGGGGGATTGCGTCCCTCTCCACGAGTGAGCAGCTGAGGGAGGCGCACAGCAGGTGCTTCGGGCAGGCCTTGGATGGCGGTGGAAGCGCAGGCTGATATGGTTAACCCCAAGTTTGCAGGGAAGAAACTGAAGTGCAAAGAGGGCGGACACCTGCATGAGGTCGGCAGCTTCCAGGGAGTCCAGCTGGCACTGGAAACCAGACTTCCTGCCTCCTGTCCATGGTCCCTGAGCAAGGGTCACGTAGGGAGCCATTCTCAGCTCAGAGGGAGCTCCACTCTCAGAGGGAGAGTTAGCCTGGGAACTTGCCCTTCTCCAGGGACACCTGGAAGATGGGAGCAACAGCAGAGAAAAAAGAAAGAGGCCTGGCTCAAGGCCGAGCACTGGGCCCTGGGCTGCATGACCTCAGCAAGTCACTCGCCTCTCTTGGCCTCTGCCAGCGAATCTGGAAAATAGGGCCAGTGCCAGTACCTGCATACACGAGCTATAGTGAATTCTGTGAGGCCAGGTGGGTGCAGGGCACAGTAGGGAGTAAGAGCTCAAAAACCTTCTCTCCAGAATGCTCCAGGCCTGAGTTCTCCAGTCCTGGGGCACACTTGTCCTGAGGGAGTCAACTACCACAGGTGTGTTCATCCCTCTGGGACACTAACCATGGACTTGACTGGTGTCCCCTACCTTGTCTGTCTGTCTCTGTGGGCACAGGGCGCCCCTGCCTGCCCGAGTGGGACCACATCCTGTGCTGGCCGCTGGGGGCACCAGGTGAGGTGGTGGCTGTGCCCTGTCCCGACTACATTTATGACTTCAATCACAAAGGTAAGGCAGGCTGGAGTAGGGGGTGGATCACTGGGGTACCAGGACTCAAGCTCAGGGCTTCAGTGGCTCCGGATTTCTCTGCCTGCCCTGACCCTCCCACGGCCCTGCAGGTCATGCCTACCGACGCTGTGACCGCAATGGCAGCTGGGAGTTGGTGCCGGGGCACAACCGGACATGGGCCAACTACAGCGAGTGTGTTAAGTTCCTGACCAATGAGACTCGTGAACGGGTGCGAGACTTCCCCTCTCCTACCTGACCACCCCATAAGGTCACCCCACCCCTTTAGTGACACCCACCTAGTCCTGACTCCTCCAGCAACCTTAACCTGGCCTCTGACCCTTAACCTGATGCTCCGCCCGAGTTCCAGGAATCTGACGGTGTCTCCCACCTGCACAGGAGGTGTTTGACCGCCTGGGCATGATCTACACCGTGGGCTACTCCGTGTCGCTGGCTTCCCTCACCGTGGCTGTGCTCATCCTGGCCTACTTTAGGTAGGCGGGGCGGGCCGAGGTGGGCGGGGCCTGGGCGGGACCGAGGTATGGTTCCTCCCTTAAGCCTTCGCTGCACCCCTAGCCCTGCCGGGGGTCCCTACCTACGGCGCACAACCCGGCTTCCTGCCCACCCTCTGCGCGTCCCCGTACCCCAACCCACGATGATGTGCGCCCCACAGGCGGCTGCACTGCACACGCAACTACATCCATATGCACCTGTTCCTGTCCTTCATGCTTCGCGCCGTCAGCATCTTCGTCAAGGACGCGGTGCTCTACTCGGGCGCCACGCTCGATGAGGCTGAACGCCTCACCGAGGAGGAGCTGCGCGCCATCGCTCAGGCACCCCTGCCGCCTGCCGCCTCTGCTGCCGGCTACGTGAGTGCCCCCCGCATCCCCCTGGCGTCCCCAGGCTTTGGGGCCCCCTGCCACCACTGGCTTTGCAGGAGCCCCACCCTGCTGTGCCCCGACACCTCCAGCCTGGCCCTCACCCCTGCCTGTCTCTTGCTACTACTGGCTTCAGGCGGTTCACACCCACTTCACTGTCCCTCCTACCCCTCAGCCCTGCTTCCAGTCCCTTCTGCTAAGGGCTTTGTGAGTGCCTCCCATCCTGGCACTTTCATCAACACTCCTGTGTCAGCCCAGTACCCCAAACCACCCCACCTCTTCACCTTGTCCCCTGCCGCTGTCGTGAGTGCCCTCTTGCCCCTGGCAAGATTCCCCACACACACCCCCCTCAGCCCCTACCCTTAAGCCTTGAACAGAGCCTGCCCCTTCCTCCCTGGCTTGACTAGCATCATTTGTCCTATCTCACCAGCACACCCCTCCCTGCCCATCTCCCACCCAGCCCCAACTTCCCCAGATGCAGACCCTGCCCTCTGGCTAATACCAGCTGGTATCCTAGGTGGGCTGCCGGGTGGCTGTGACCTTCTTCCTTTACTTCCTGGCCACTAACTACTACTGGATTCTGGTGGAGGGGCTGTACCTGCACAGCCTCATCTTCATGGCCTTTTTCTCAGAGAAGAAGTACCTATGGGGCTTCACGGTCTTCGGCTGGGGTATGCAGGCATGGAGGGCGGTGAGGTGCAGGCAAGGGTGGGACCATTGGTGGCTGGGTCAGAGGGTACCCCTGAGGGTAAGGCGTCCACACAGCATATCCCATCCTGGATCTGGGGCAGCAGGTGGGCCACCTGCCCACCCTTCTGTGACTCTGACCCATCCCAGGCTCAGAGAACAGGGCTTGGCCAGAGGTTCACCTGGGGCTGGCCCAGCCTGAGGTTGGGGCTCACCTGGAGGCAGATTCACCTGGGGTTCAGGCTCAGACCAGGAGAGGGAGGGGGCACTCTCAGATCAAGATTCAGCTCAGGATCAGAGTGGGATCTCGGGTCACAGGTGAGCCTGGGGCAGGAGTTGGGATCTGTGATCCTCCCTCCACCCTGAGCCCTGTTTCCCCACCAATCCCCTCACTGCGTGGAGCTGTCCATGCCACTGCCATCCTGCCCGCAGGGTCCGTGGCCCAGAGCCGCTGGCCCGCACTCTTAGTATCATCTGGGCTTCGGCAGCCCCCCTGCAGAGCGGTTGCTGGGGCGCTGCACTCCTCCCCCATGGGCTCTGGGATCGAGTTACCGATAATTGTCCATTATTGTTGGCAGCTCCAGAGCTTGGCTGGGCTCCGGGGCAACTGGCCAGACTGCAGAGGGGTAGGCCGGGTGGCGGGAGCCCTCCTGTGCTCAGCACCCAGAGGCCCTCAGATCGAGAGCCACAGCCTCCCTGCTCCAGGGCACACACTCTGACCTTGACCTCACCCATGGCAAATCCCAGAGTTGCAGGAGACCTGGGCCTGGTCCAGGAACTGACGCAGGCTCTAGGGCTAGAGGGTGTCATGGTGGGCAGAAAACATGCAGATCAGGGAGCACAGAGAACTTTGTGGCATGGGAATGTCATAGCTCTTTTTCTTACCATAAACCCAGGTCATACTCTGCCCCTCCTAAGGGTGCACCAGGCCTAGAACGAAGTGTGAGGGGGTGGAGGGTGGGGACCTGGGCTCCCCTTCTAGAGGCAAAGCTCACTCAGATTTACCATGTGCTATCTGAGCTGGCTCAGGCCAGGGCACAACAAGGTCCCCCTGTGGCCCTTTATTCCGCCTGGGATGACAACCCTCACACCATCCAGCCTCATCCATGGGGGCTAGGACCTTTCAAACTGAGTGGGGGGCATGCTGGGACAGAAAAATGCTATAATAGGCCCCCTCCTGATAGAGACCTCAGCTCAGAGCAGCATGCTTCAGGGGGCGGTGGTGGAGGGGGAATGGACTGGGCATGGATGAGGTAGTGATACCTTATTTCACTCTGTGCCCAACCGGTGTGCCCATGTAGGAGATGCAGAACCAAGATGAGGGCAGAGGGTGGAACTGGGTCCTGAGGGCTGGAGCCCTGAGGGGAGGCTGTTGGGGCAGCACGTGCCAGAGTATGGCTCTGTCACCAAGCAGCCCACGTGCCCAGGGTGAGGGGGTCAGGGACAGTGATGGGGTAGGCTGGGGGTCATCAGGGTTGAGGGGAATGGGACCAGCAAGGCGGGCTGAGGAGGGAGACATCGTGGACAGCATCTACAGTCCCTTACATGCTGTCCCCCTCTGCGCCCACAGGTCTGCCTGCCATCTTCGTGACTGTGTGGGTCAGTGTGAGAGCCACCCTGGCCAACACTGGGTAGGTCCAGGTGGGGAGAAGGGGGCCAGGGGCTCTGACACAGGCCAGGAACACCCCTGGTACCCTCTTCCTCTGTGAAGCATATAAGGGGGCCTCCTGTACCCTGGCCCTGAGTGGCCTCAGCTTCAGGAGTTTTCAGTCCAGCTTTGATCCAAGTACTCCCTCCGGGTCACAGGAGGCTACTTCAAAAGAGGCCTCAGGCTTGGCCACACCAGACACTGCCCTGTCCTTTGTCCCCAATGGCTACTGTCAGAGCAGAGCAGCTCTGGGGTCTCTCTGTGGGCAGGCTCAGGGTGGGGACAGGAGGGGGTGGGGAATGATGGCTCAACCTCCCCCAGGTGCTGGGACCTGAGCTCCGGGAACAAGAAGTGGATCATCCAGGTGCCCATCCTAGCCTCCATTGTGGTGAGCAGGGGTGGCCACAGGGCTGGGTGGGGGTGTGGACCACAGGCCCAGGGACCAGCCCCTGACAGACTATAGAGGCTTCCTTGGACCCCAGGGTCAGAGCCATAAGGCCTGAGAAGCAGCTGATCCCCATCATGGTTCAGATGGGGAAACTGAGGGCCCATGGAGCCACCTGGAGATGCAGTGGCAGAGCAGAGCCTGGGCAGGCCTGGGTCCCAGAGTCCTTGCCCTCACCCTCTGCTAGAGCGCAGCCTTGAGACGCAGCCCTCTCACTCTCCAGCTCAACTTCATCCTCTTCATCAACATCGTCCGGGTGCTCGCCACCAAGCTGCGGGAGACCAATGCCGGCCGGTGTGACACGCGGCAGCAGTACCGGTGAGCCACGCCTGCCATGCCCAGGCTCCTCAGAGTTTAGGGGTCATCAAATCCCAGTGCCATGTACAAAAGCAAAGATGGAGGCCCCAAGAATGAGCCTGTCTCAAGGGAAGGACCCAGCTCCTGACTCCCTGGCTGGCCCTGCCCAGCCATGCCGGGATCTTGCCCGGCCTCTGGAGACCCCTGGGGCACCCCAAAGCCAACCTGGGCCACGTGGTGCCAGGCCCTGCACTAGAGCTGGCATTTGCAAGAGCAGGACAAACCCAGATCTCTCCTCAAAGAACTGGTTGCAAGGAGTATAAGGGACAGGTGGGTAGTGGGTGGCCTTGAGAAGGCAGTAGCTCAGCTGAAACCTGAGGAGTGGGGTATCAGATAATGAGGTAAGGCCATGAGAGAGTGAGTGCCAGCAGAGGGACCAGCAGGTGCAAAGAGCCCTGGGACAGGGTGACATATAATTTATGGTCCACTCTAGGACACTTCAGAACCAGGGGCCCTATTAACACTTTGCTGAGATGACAAAGTGCTGTCCCAGGTGAACTGGATTGTCCTCTGCTGGTGGCAAGAGCCTCGGGTCCCTTAGTGGCTTCTGGAGCCTGGGGCTGGCAGGTGGAGGTGGCATAGTGCCTGCTGAGAGGAAGTGGCTCAGCCCTGACCCACCTGCCCTGCTGGTCCAGGAAGCTGCTCAAATCCACACTGGTGCTCATGCCGCTCTTTGGCGTCCACTACATCGTCTTCATGGCCACGCCGTACACCGAGGTCTCAGGGACGCTCTGGCAAGTCCAGATGCACTACGAGATGCTCTTCAACTCCTTCCAGGTGCGCAGCCCTGGCCGAGGCCAGGCCGAGGGTGGGAGGGGTCGAAGGGGCAGGGGACACTGCTGTGGGCCTTAACCTATACACCTCTCTCCCCAGGGATTTTTTGTCGCCATCATATACTGTTTCTGCAATGGCGAGGTAAGCAGTGGGCTGCAGTGGAGTGAGGCAGGGAGGACACAGAAGTGCCAGGGGTTCTCTAAGTCCTGTCCCTCCATTCTCCTACCTGGTTCTTCTTTGTTCCTCCAAGAACATCCCTGAGGACATTCTGAAGGCAGAGAGACATCTTTCCAGATGATTCAGGCTCAGATGTGCTAGGATTTCTGGGCTCTTCAACCTCTGGCATAGCCAAGTGTCTTCCCAACCCCAAGGCTGAATTCTCTGTAACCCAGATTGAATGACTCAGCCACCTTGCAGATTCTTGAGCCTTGCAGATTCTGGGTGTGTCAGAAACCTTCCAGCCGGGCACCATGTTCTGAGGAAGACGGGATTTTACTGGACCTTGGAATTTTCCAGTAATACCCCATGCCTCTTGTTTCCATTCAGTGCTGTTGTAGAAACAGGGATGGGGGCACTGCTGGGGTTGGGGGGGCATGTGGCAGTGGGATTAGGGGCACACCTGACACCCACCCTCCTACTGCCATCCCAGGTTCAGGCTGAGATCAAGAAATCCTGGAGCCGCTGGACACTGGCACTGGACTTCAAGCGTAAGGCACGCAGCGGGAGCAGCAGCTACAGCTACGGTCCCATGGTGTCTCACACAAGTGTGACCAATGTAGGCCCCCGCACGGGACTTGGCCTGCCCCTCAGCCCCCGCTTGCTGCCCGCTGCTACCACCAACGGCCACCCCCAGCTGCCCAGCCATACCAAGCCAGGGGCCCCAGCCCTCCAGACCACACCACCTGCTGTGGCCACTCCCAAGGACAATGGCTTTCTCAATGGTTCCTGCTCAGGGCTGGACGAGGAGGCCTCCGTGCCAGAGCGGCCACCCACCCTGCTGCAGGAGGAGTGGGAGACAGTCATGTGACCAGGGACCTGGGGGTTGGACCTATGGACATAAGGGCGACAGACAGATGGACCAAGAGATGGGTGGTTGGATGGTTGCCCACTCAGGGCTAGGGCCAGGAGGACAAAACAGGAGGAAAAAAAAAAGAAAAGGGAAAAGGAAGCAGTGTGTGGCTTCCTGTGGTCTGAACTGGGGACTCACTCCAGGAGGGGAGGGGGCTGGGAGCCATGGGAGGGTTCTTGGGTCCCACCTCATGAGGAGGCCTAGGAACCATGGGCTGGTCCCTGGGGTTGGGGCACAGTCCAGCAGAAAGGGCCTGGGAGAGGCTGCTGTCTAGGCCTAGAGAGGCTCAAGTCTGCAGGGGTCACACAGCCAGCCAGTGGACCCATGCAGGAGTTGGGCCCCAGCCTTTCCCTGCCACAGATGCCACCTCAGCTGCTCCCCACAAGTGTACCCATGCCCCAAGGGCGACCCAGGCTGCCTTTGGCCCGGACTCCTCTGGGCCAGCTTCTCCGCTTGCTGGCCCCCAGTCACTGGTCACTCAGGACTGACAGGACATTCTTTGGGTCCCTGGCCATGCCCCCAAGCCTGAGGCCCTGCTATAGGCCTGTCTGCTGGCCATGCCGTGCCCCTTGGAGGCTGGGCCACTCAGAGAGCCCTCTACATGTGACTCCCAGTCCCCACCCTGGTTCTGATATGCCTCTAGCAACCAGACGGTGCAGAGGGAGTGCCAGGGCCAGCAAGTGAAAGGTAGGCTGGGGTCTTGGCTCTGGCTCAGGAACTGTGGGGGAGCCAGGAGCCTGAGCCCAGAGGGCTGGCTAGGTTGGGGGTCTGCCAGACTCAGAACATCCACTCATATGGACCCAAGATGGTCACTAAGCATCCCTACCCAACACCCACCCACCACCTTACTTGCCCCCTGCCCACAGCAGTCTTGGGCCCTAGAATAGCCCAGGCCCTCCTCGGCCTGACACCTGAAAACCGAGCTGACTGCATCCCTACCCCATGCTCCAGCCACAGTGAGCTTGCCCAAACCTGCAGATGGTCCTGCCTCTAAGCCTATGTACAAGCTGGTGCCCCTGCCTGGCCCTGCCTTCCCCTCATCTCCAGCTCAAACTGTCTTGTTTTTCTCCATGGACTCAGCACCTGGGAAGTGTTCCCCCTCTCCAACAGCCCCCTACTTCATTGGGGGCTAGGTGAGAGGTCATGAGGCCAGGACCACCACTTAGGCAGTGGGTGGCTTGGACATACGCTGAGCAGCCTCAGGCCCAGCCCCACCTGCCCTTCCAGATGGCGGGCAGGGGAAACAACTGTCCAAAGGCCTGGTGCACTCATGGACTCAATGTAGTATGACCTGCTTGGAAGGGTGTGAGAGAGGAACAGGCCAGGACTTGAAGGGCCACTGAACCAAGCTGAGCATCTGGAATTCCTGTGAGTGCTGGGAGCCACCTGAAGTTCTAGAGGGAGAGCAACAAGGTCTGAGCAACATTCAGAAGAGTTCTTGCTCCAGTGTAGAGAGGCCAGAGAAGATTACAGGGGTCAGGAGAGATGTAGCCTTGTGGGATGCAGGTGGCCAGATGGGGAGATGATGGGAGTGGGAGGTGCTGCTGTCAAGAAGGACCCTGGATGAGGCACTGACTGGGGGAAGGAGACCTAAGTAGGACAGCCCCCACTCCCCTTCCCAGGGGTGTCTGATGCCCCTCTCCAGCACTCAGAGCCACGGGCCCTCTGGACCACTGAGGCTCCAGGATAACTTATCCTGCCCACCCCATGACAGAGTCACTAAGGGCCCGAGCTGGCTGGGCCACAGGGCCCCATCTTCCAGCTGAGACTCCTCCATCAGGAGGCTCGTGAAGTAATGAGTCCATGAGATGCACTCACCTTGAAATGTTCAGACTGGGAACCCCCAGGCAGGGCTGTACTCACCCCTCAGACCGGGTGCCCTCCAGGCCAGGGCTGTGTCTCCCACCTCAGACTTGTTACCCCCGTCCCTTCAGATGGACCCCCAAGATAGGGCTGTGTTTCCCCTTTGGACTAAATGCCCCCAGGACATGCTGAGTACCCCCTCTCAGGTTTGGTGTCCCCAGGCAGAACCAGGCCTTCCATATCCAATTGGACACCTTGATGAGGCCGGCCCTCCCTCCCTCAGGATTTTTGCACCTAGGACAGGGTCAAGCCTCTCCCTTTAGACTGAGCACCATTTCTTCCCTCAGACTGGATGTCCAGGACAGGACTGGACCTCTTACATCAGTCTAAGACCCTAGGCCAGGACCAAGTCTCCTCCCTTAGACTGGGGGCTCCTGGGCCAGGGCTGGCCTATCCACTCAGAGGCCCTGAGCCCCGTCTGGGCCATCCAGGTGTTGGCAGAGGAAGTGGGAGCCCTCAGCGGGCCTGGCAGGCAGTCAGGACCCTGTTTGCCTTGAGCAGGGGCTGGAGCCAGGTGGTCACTTCTCCTTCAAGGCCTCACAGCCCAGCCAAGCCGCAGGGAACACGTAAACACCAGCCGAGCCGGGCAGTGGGAAGGCGGGGAGGCGGGTACCAAGAGACCCTGACTCCTTAGCCACGGTGTCTGGGCACCTCACCTGGACTCCAAATCAGGCCAGTAAGGTGGCCTCTAGATCCCACCTGTCTTGGGCATGTGGACAGGCCCTGCACCTCTCTGGCTGTTTCTCCCCAGCCCAGGCTGGGAGAGGGATTCTGAAGACCCTTGGAAGGAATGTACCCTCCTGAGGGCCCTGGGACACAGGCTTTGAGGGGAGGCTGGGTGAGTCTATAGCTCCCAGCTCAGAGCAGGGTCTCCGGGGTCCAGGGGAATGAAAGAGATTGCTCTCCCTACCCTCAGCCTGCAAGCTCGTGGAGAACGAGGACTGAGCTGGGTCCCACACACCTGCCCAGAGTAGGCAGCCCTCACCCTGGCGAAGTGGTCAGAGGGAGAAGAGACAGGGGAAAGGGGGCTGAGTTCTCTGAAGTTCAAAAGGCACATGACCCTGCCCAGGAAGCTGAGAGGACACAGCTGTGCTCTGGGGGGTGTGAGGAGGACACAGCCCTGCCTGGGGGTGGAGGGTGACAGGACACAGCCCTGCTCCAAGGGTGTGTGAGGAGACATGCACCTGCCCTGGGGGGTTCTAGGAGGGTCCTGGCTCTGCCTTGGTTGTTAGCAGAGTGGTCTGCCTGTGGGGACCCTAGTCAGAGGGGCAGGAGGAGTGGGGCTCGCTGCACACCTCCAGCACACAGGCTGGGCTGGGTCCCGATGCTTGTCCCTGATGCCTCCTCGGCCAACTCCAGGAGAATGATCCCAGCCTGAGGCTACCATGGCCAACTGAAACAAGCCTTGGCTGGGGCAGAGGAGCCTCCTTTTGGGCAGAGGAGGAGGGGACTCCAGAGCCAGGCAGGGGCCTGGGCCCTGGCTGGCTCCGTGGGTGTGCTGTGTGATCCTGGGCAAGCCACCTTCCCTCTCTGAACCTCAGCTTCTCCTCTGAGGTCAGGTCCCTGTCCAGGTCTCCTGGAAGATGGGGCCCTGTGGCCCAGCCAGCTCGGACCCTCAGTGACTCCATCCATGGGGTGGGCAGGATGAGTTGCCCTGGAGCCTCAGTGGTCCGGAGGGCCCATGGCTCTGAGTACTGAAGAGGGGCATCAGACACCCCTGGGAATGGGAGCCGGGGCTGTCCTGCTTACACTGCTCCCCACTGGGCCCCCAGGGTGGTCTTTGCCTGCCTGGACAGGGCCCCTATCTTCCCCTTAGGCAGACTTGGGGCCCTCAGGACCCAAGGCCAGGACATCCCCAAGTGATAGGTATCCTCTTTCTTAAGCATCATGGTCATGTAGGCAGTGAGGGCCAAGAGGTGACGGGTGTGCCAAATCTGTGCAACTCCTCCCTGTCCAAGGGCTGGGGGTCAGGAAAGGGGCCAGGGTCTGGGAGGCAGAAGACAGGATTCTAGACCCACAACCATTCCTGCTGACCTGGGCCTTCCATCTGTGGGTGAGAGGAGAGGTGGGGCCCCTTCATGTTCCTGCGTTAATTACGCACCTATTCTTCAGGCCCCTCCCCCACTCTTAGTGCAATTTGGTTGGAGGTAGAGAGGCAGTCTCAATCCTTCCAAAGGCTTCCTGATTTGAAGGTCCCGTGGTTTTCAGTCTGCTTCTCCTCAGACAGAACACTGCAGGGTGGGGACATTGCCAGCGGCTCTGGTAGGGAGCTCTGCAGACAGCAGCCCCCATGGGGCTCCTGTTGGCTTTGCTTCCCAATGGTGAGGAGGAGACGGGGTTGTGGGCATGCGAGGGTGGGTTTATGGCCACCCCATGCTCCCTTTGCAGAGCCTCAGTGCACGTGGCTCCAAACTCCTCTCGCGGCCCTGCCGCGCGGAGCCCTCCACCTGCTCTCTCCACTGCCCACGCTGTGCTCTCCAGTCAGCCCAAGACAGTGGGTTCCTCCTGGGACCCTTTGCCACAGCACCCTTTTCCTGCTCCAGCATGTCTGAGTCAGGGGACAGCATTGGTGTGAACCATGCCCTGGCCCTGCCCAGAGGCCACACTGCCAGGTTCCCTGTCCCCAAGAAGCTCACCCACATCAGAGATATAGAGAAGTGTGTTGTGTGTCTGTTATGTGTTTGTGTGTATGTATGTATCTATAATCGTGTGTGTTTATTTGTATATTTGTATGTATGTGAATTTGTATACATGTGTCTGTTCATTTATGTGCCTAGCTATGTGTCTGTTGTGTCTTTGTATTGTGTGTCTGTTTGTGATTCTATTTGTATGTATGCCTGTGTGTGTCTGTGTGTATGTTTGCCTACGTGTGTCTGTATATGTATCTGTATGTCCATTTGCATATGCCTTTTGGTGCGTCTACTTGTGTGTGTGTGTGTGTACCAGTGTGTCTATTTGTATTTATTTGTATGTATGCCTGTGTATGTGTGTGTCTATTTGTGTGTGTGTCTGTATGGATCCGTGGTCTGAGAATGCCGCCTGTGGGTGGAATTTGGCTCAGAGATGTGTTTGGTTTGGCCCTCACAGTATTTTCAACATCTTGAGCCAACATTTAAAAATCAGGATATTTCACATAAAAATTCAGCTTTCCAGCTTCTCTTAAAAATTCAGAAGCCCTGGCAGCCTTGGGCCTGCATTCCCATGAGGCCACTCTCCTCCGAAGCTACACAGGGGCTGCCTCATCTCCCCACCCTCCACAGCCTCACCACTTGTCTCGCCCACCAATGCCTTGAGGATGACTGAGTGTGTGACCCCAAAGTGTGTGGTCACAACTGAGTGTAAGCCTGGCTGTCAGGGAGTATGTGCATGAGTGTGTGTGTGGAGTGAGTTTGCATGTGTGTATGTGGGTGATGAGGGGCTGTAAGTACATATATGTGTGCGTGAATCAAGTTGAGATGGGGGGGTGTACACATAAATGCATGTGTGAATGTGAAGCCAATCTGTGTGCATGGGGTGTGTGTGTGTGAATGCATGTGTGTGTGCATTAGGCAAATCTGAGTGTGCAAATGTGAGCATCTGCACATGTGGCTGTGAGGTATCTATGCATAAGGGGGTATACATGTGTGAATGCACGCATGTACACATGTATGTGTGCATGGCCGTATTCATGGCCATGTGGAGTGTGTGGGCCACTGTGGTCTGGCATGCTCTGCACAGGGGCCTCTTCCGGCCTTTGACAGGGAATTGGATTCCCGGCTCCTGGCTGGGCTGCCTTGTGGGAGATTTATTTCTGTCTCAGTGCCGACCAGAGGCCTGAGTAATGGGAACATTTAAAGAAAACCCGTAAATACAGAGAGAAGGGGCAGGCAGGCCGGGAAACTCAGTCTGGGCACCCCTGCCCAGCCAACAGCTGCCAGAGGCCAGGCCTGAGCCAGAGAGCGAAGCAGCCCTAGGACCCAGCAGGCACACCCTCTCTGCCCTATGGATTGCCCACTTCTGCCTTTCTAGTAACATCTGGTACGTGAGATCCTTATTCCACCTGGATGGCCCCTGGGTCAACAGTAAGCATCTTGGGAGCTTGACTCTGAGCAACAGATGCTCAGGACAGGCCCAGGGGATGCTATGTCAAGCCTGGCCCAGGGGCTAAGGGAACCTGACCCTCCTGGCTGGCCTCTTTCCCAGCCAGGCTACAGTGGGTCCACATCCCTGGGTATTCTGTCCACACAGGTCTCACACATACTCAGACCCTCCCACAGGAGGGATGAGGCTGCCCATGACCTGGCAGAGCTGGTGCTGCCCCCAGGGCTGGGAGGGCACTCAAGACACTCCACCTGGCGCCCACACACCCTGGAGTGCCTGGTGCCTGGAACCTGAGGAAGGCCAGCCTGGGGTGGGGTGGGGTGCTGCTGTTCTCCCCAGGACATGGCCCCCATTGTTCTGGGTTTTGGGTAGACTAAGCCTCACTTTCAGGATCATCTCTGATATCAGCCACTTAAATGACACAGGCCCTGTGTGAAAGGACAAAAGTTCTTCCTCTGGTAGGGTGACGTCCATTACAGAAGAGCCACTGCAGCAGTGGGAAAAGCAGGCTGTGCTGACCCACGCTTCCCTTCAGGGCCCCGGTTGGTGTCTCCTGCTGCCCCCCAGCGGCCATGTGAGGACAGGGGGGAAATAAAGTCTGCCTGGAGATTCTGGTCCATGGAGTCTCTTGGCTGAGTGGACTGGCGGCGTCCCTGAGGCCCCAGATCCCCACCACTCACTAAGTCCCACTGTAATGCCCAGCCAGATGGTTCTGGGGGAAGTGAGGTCTTTCAGACTGGTCTGAGGGAAGGGGCTTGGCTCCCAGCACAGATCCAAAGACCACCTGGAAGCTCGGCTCCTGGAGGGCAGGACATCATCGTCCCCTGGAACAGCACCCAGCACAAGACAGGTACTCAGAAAACAGGATGAATTAGTGCCTGAATCTCCAGCTCCTCTAGGGTGGGCGGTGCTGTGACAGGCACTGGATGTGGGTCAGAGTCCCACGGGGAGGCCACCTGAAGGTGAGCGCATCTCACACACTGGAGCCAGAAGGTGGTGAGCAGCAGCATGGAAGCCCAACAGGGGATCTGCCTGGGAAGATGCCCGGCACTTGAGGCTGGACAGAGTCCAGGGGGACTAGATTTGCCTAAACTGGCTGCCTTCACATACCTGACCTGCAGCCTGCTGGGCTGACAGCAGAATTTTCCCTTGTAACTTTAGGGGCTGTGCCTCTCTCCTGACCCCGTCTGCCACTCCTCACTGGGGTTCAGGCCCTGTGCCAGCCCAGATGTCCACCTGGCCGCGAGGGGCCCGTCCCCGCAATCCCAGCCCTCTTGCTGCCTCCCCGCTTCCCCAGAGGCACCAACCTTGGGTCTCTGGGACAGCAGGTCCTGTTCTCCTGTCCTCTGCTGGGGAAAGGGCATCTATGCTGTCACAGAACATTCCAGGCCTGACACCTCTGAGGTAACCCAGAGGCTGGATGTCCTCCATGATTTCAAGCAGGGGGGACCTGGAATGTTAGGAGTCAGGGCTGTCCTGGGAAGTGCCTGGTGAGCTGGGCAGCGGTAGGCACACTAGGGTTCCATCCACAGAGCTGGGTGCTGTCACTTGCTGGTCCATTTCCTCAGCCCTGTGACAAAAGGCTGCTGGGGCCTGAGTGCCTCCTACCTGTCCCTCCAGCCAAGGCCAGGAGTCACTGCAACTGACCTTGAACTACCCTATCTGATGTCCCACAAGACTGTGATGCAGACTCCAGAAAGCTTGTTCTGTCTTGTTTTTAAACGTGGAAAGCACACCTTTAAAAAGATCACACATTTCAGCTTATTAATATGTTTTACCAGTTTCTTTGCTCACCACTGAAAATAAAATTTTTTTTATTTTGAAATAAAAATATAGATTCATAGGAAGTTAAAAAGACAGTACAGAGCAGTCCTGTGTACCATTCACTCAGCTTCCCCGACGTAGAGGACGCCTTCGTTCCATAAGTATAGTACTATATCAAAACCAGGAGTTTGACGCTGTACGATGTGTACACTTCCATTCCATTTTATCACACGGAGATTCGTGTAACGACCACTGCAGTCAAGAACTATCCCATCCCCAGCAAGATCTCCGTCAAGCTACCCCTTTATACACGGAGCCACTTACCTGTACCATTCCCAACCCCCAGCAACCACTAATCTGTTGTCTATCCTTACGATTTTGTCATTTCAAGAATGTTATAGATATGGAATCATACAGTACATGATCTTTTGACATATTTTTTTCACTCAGCACAATGCCCAAGATCCATTGAAGCCGCCGCATGTGTCAGTTTGTTCCTTTTTATGCTGAGTAGAGCAGTATTCCATGGTATGGCTGCACCGCAGTTTAACCAGGCACCTACTGAAGGGCATTTTGTGGGTCAGTTGGTTGGTTTTTCTACAGAATAATAAAAACTTTAAAAATTTTTCACTCCATTACTCCCAAAAGTACAGAACCAAGTGAAGGAATGCCCTTGTAGATTGCAAGCCATGTCAGAAATTTATTACTGTACTTATTTCACCCATTTGTGTGTAATATTTTAATTCCAAACTGAAGGAAGGGAAATTATACTAAGACCTAGATCTTTGATGATGACTTGGCAACCTCCATTAAGCGGAAGATCTGTGCTCATTTTTTTAACTGATGGAGCATAAACAACAAATTCAAATTATCCAGCATTCATTAAGCAAGAATGCAAGCAACATTTGGGGTTTTTTTAAGCTTTTGATGATTAAAAAGCTGCTATGAACATTTGTCTAGTTTTTCTATTTGCTATGTCCATTTGTGGTGGACATAGTTTTCATTTCTCTGGAATAAATGCCCAGGAGTATGGTCACTGGGTTATATGTTAAGCACATGTCTAGTTTCTTAAGGAACTGCCAAACTATTTTCCAGAGTAACTGTACCACGTACAGTCCCAGCAACAACATACGAGAGATTCAGCTTCTCCAAATCCTTGCCAGTAGTTGGTATTATCACTATTTTTTATTTCAGTTGTTAGGTGTGTAATGATATCTCATTATGGTCTTAATTTGCCTTTCCCTAATGGCTAGTATGTTGCACATCTTTCATGTATTTGCCATTTATATATCCTCTTCAGTGAAATATCTCCACATCTTTTGCCCTTTTTTTTTGAGGAAGATTGGCGCTGAGCTAGCATGTGCTGCCAATCCTCCTCTTTTTGCTGAGGAATACCGGCCCTGAGCTAACATCCGTGCCCATCTTCCTCTACTTTATATGTGGGACGCCTACCACAGCATGGCTTGCCAAGTGGTGCCATGTCCGCACCCGGGATCCAAACCAGCGAACCCCAGGCTGCTGAAGTGGAACGTGCGAACTTAACTGCTGCGCCACCAGGCCGGCCCTGCTTTTGCCCATTTTCTAATTGGATTTTCCTTTTATTGTTGAGTTTTTAGAGTTCTTTATATATTCTACATGAGTCCTTTATCAGATACGGAGTTTGCAAATATTTTCTTGGTCTGTAGCTTTTCTTTTCATTCTCTTAACAAGGTCTTTGTTGGAGCAAAATCTTTTCATTTTAGTTAAGTCAAATTTCTCAATTTTTTTCTTTATGAATTGTGCTTTCGGTCTTGTGCCTAACAATTCTTCAATTGTTCAAGCTCTAGGTCCTGAAGGTTTTCTCCTAAAGTTTTTATAGTTCTACATTTTACATTTAAATCTATGATCCACTTTAATTTTTGTATAATGTCTGAGTTTTAGGTTGGGGTTCTTTTTTGGCCTATGTATACCCAATCACTCCAGCACCATTTACTGACCACTATCTCCATTGAGCTCATTTTGCACCTTCATCAAAAATCAGTCGGCCGTACTTGTGTGGGGCTACTTGAGTTCTCTGTTCTCTTCCACTGGTCTACGTGCCTACCATCTTGATTACTGTAGCCTTGAAGTGGGGAGTGATTCCTCCTGCTTTATTCTTTTAGTTAAAAACTGTTTAAGCTATTCTACTTCTCTTGCCTTTCCTGATACATTTTAGAATAATCTTGTCTTTATCTAAAGATCTTATTGGGATTTTGATAGGAACTGCATTAAAGCTGTATATCAATTCTCCAGTAAAACTATCTAGCCTTGGAGATTTCTTTTTCAGGAGTTTTAAAATTATGAATTCACTATTCTTATTATGGAGCAAATTATCTACTTCATCTTGGGTGAGTTGTGGTAGTTTGTGCTTTTCAAGAAATTGGTCCATTTCATCATCAAATTGTCATATTTATGTGGGTACTTACAGTATCCCCTCACTGTCCTTTTGACGTCTGTGGGGTCTGCAGTGATAGCCTTATTTCATTCCCAATAGTCATAATTTGTCTTCTTTTTTTGTCTTGCTAGAGGTTAGTCAATTATTGATTTTTGCAATGTTTACCAGTTTCTTTGCTCACCACTTCTTCCTGCATCCTGTGGCAAGCACTGCTGGCTGCCTTCCCAGTATTCTTTCTACCCTTCTTCCTTTCTCATGGGACTTCAATTTCAATCATGGTGGCAACGTGCCCAGCTTAAAATATCGTTACTCCCCACGTCTGCAGTCAGGGGTAGATCTGACACAGTAATGGGTGATCAGATGTGAAGGCAAGTCTGGTGGACTGGGCTCGTGGCCATGGTTTCTTCAGCTAGCTTGCCCTTTGCCCTCCCTGCTCCTGCCTGTAGCTCAAACTTGGGGGTGCAAAGGCTCCTAGGGGAGTTAAGGACGGCAGCTGTGGAGAGAGAAGGGACTCAGTCTCAGGCGGCCTCAAGGAGCCACTGTACCACCTTGGACTTAACACAACAATAAACCCCTCCGTGTTTAAGGTCCTGTTTGTGAGTGTCTGCTAAATGTAGTCCCAATTTCCATAGCCCCCTCCCTGACCCCACCTCGGTTCCTCTCGCTACAGAGCATCCTTTAGTCGTTCTTTCAGCAAAGATCTGTGCATAGTGAACACCAGGTGTCATAAGCCTGAAAATGTCTATCTTGCTCTTATTATTTATGACAATTAAGCAGACTGACATTTCGTTTCCTCAACACTTAGGAAAAATGTGTCTTCTAGTATCTACTATTGATGGAAAGTGAAACTCATTCATTCATAAGTAATCTTTTTTTCCCCCCATGTAGCCTGCATGATTTTTCTCTTTACCCTCAATGTTCTAATCTAGACCATTGCAGTGAAACTGCAGATGTGGCCATTTAAAAAAATTCCACTTCACACTTACTGAGAAATTTAAGTTGTGAATTCCAGAAACCTCTCTTTAAAAAAGCTTGTGTGTGAAATACAGCACATATACCAAAAAAGTGTGTAAAATGGAGAATAAGATGAATTCCTGTCACTCAAGCCAAAAAAAAGATTATCAGCACCTCTAAGGGCCCCTTCCCTGTGCTAACTGCAAGTCTGGTGCTGAGGATCACGCCCCTGCTCTTCTGAGCCGACTATACCATCCATGTGTGTATCCTTAGAGTATATGGTTTTACTCTGCCTGTTTGGGAACATCACACAAAGTGGCTCATATTCTGTTTCATCCTTCGAGCTCTAACCATGACCTCGCACATGGCTAGAAGCTCATTTCACCACTATGGGGTATTTCACTGTAAGAATGACAGCTTCTGACTACACCGTGTTTTATCTTGAGTGCGTGCGCACACTATTATGAACAAAGCACACAGCTTCTACAAGCATCCCCGTCCGTCTCCTGGTACACCTGTGCCACAGTTCTCTAGGACACCAACAGTGGAACTGCTGGCCACGGGTGGGTGTGCACGTGTTCAGCTTTTCCAAAGTGGCCTCACCACTCAACCCTCCCCAAGGCGGCAGGTGCAAGGCCAGCTGCTCCACCGCACACTAGGCAGGGCAGCTAACGACACTTCTGTCTGGAGGTTTTCCTGTCTGACACTGCGCAGCTCCCTCAGCTTCCTTTTGTTGATTCTGAGCTTGAGAGCTTTTCCAATCCCTTTACTTTCAATATTTCTGTTTGGGTTCAGGCTTGTATTTTTTTAAATGGCATTGGATTCAGTTAAAAGAAAAAAAAAAAGGCGGCCCAATACATAATTATAATTAATGATATATTTGAATTCATTTACTTGTCTCACCTCTTCTCTTTCTGCCTTCTTTTGGATAATTTTTTTTTCTCATTCCATTTTCTTTCTCAACTACTTTGGAAGTGGTACACTGTTCTTTCAGGGTTACCCTAGAAATGCCAGCCTGCCTTGCACCAGTCTTAATCAGATGGAGTCTTTTCTCTCTTCCTGAGTGAGCTCCTCCGATAATAAAGATTCCATCCCCTCTCACCTCGGCCCCACGCACTCCTGCTGTCTCATGTTCTAAGTAGCCCTTATTATACTTCTACTCCACAAAACACTTGTTTTATGAGGTCAATGACTACTAAATTTACACTTTCTTTCTCTCATTCCGTCTTATCTCAGATTATCCATCTGGGATCGTGTCCATTCAGTCTGAAGACATCCTCTAGAATTTTTTTTAAGGAGAATGCTCATTTATTTCATTTTTTAAAAACAGCTTCGTTGAGATACAATACACATCTCAAACAATTCACCCATTTTAAAGTGTACAACTCAATGGCTTTTAAAATATTCACAGATTTGTGCAACCACCACAAGCCATTTTAGAATATTTTCATTACCCCCAAGTAGATTTTCTCTTAGTGTGAGTCTGCAGGTGACCAAATCTCTGGTTTGTTTGTCTAAAAATATCTTGTACTTGTAAGATATTTTCTCTGGGTAAAGAATTCTAAGTGACAATTTCCTTTCGTCCAGTTAACACTGATACCAGAAGGTACCTTTCCAGTTAACGTTGGCCGTGGTTGCCACATCTGCTGTCACCCTGCTCCCTGAAAAGTAATATATCCTTCCTAATTTTAACATCTTTTCTTGGTCTTTTTGTTCTGCCAGTTTATTACACTGTATCTAGGTATGTATTGGTTTTAAAATACATGCACAAATTCTTAGACAGACCTCCCTTCCAGAGGTGGAACCTAATTGAGTGTGGGCTGGACATAGTGACTTACTTCTAACGAATAGAACGTGGCAGAATATCACTTCCAAACCAGGTCATAAAAGGCCTAAAGCTTCCTGCTGCTTCCTCTTTTGGATTGCTTTTTCTCTGGGGAAAGCGAGCTGCCACGGCACGCAAACACTCAAGCAAGCCTCAAGGAGAGGTCCACGTGGCAAGGATCTGTGTGCACACTATGCTTCTCTAAGCACTCCTGTGAGCCCCAGGAGTGGACGTTGTCCTGGGAGCAGATCCTTCAGCCCCAGTCAGGCCTTCAGATGACTGCTGCTCTGGAGTACATCTTGACTGCAACCTCAAAGAGACCCCAAGCTAGAACTACCCAGCTAAGTCTCTCCTGAATTCCTGACACACAGAAACTGTCCGATAATAAAATTTGTTGTTTTAAGCCATTGAGTTTGGGATAATTTGTATGTAGCAATAAATGATTAATACAAATGTGAAAAAAATTTTAAGCAAACTTGCTTATTGAGCTATAAAAACATACAAAAAATGCACAAACCATATGTGCAGTTCAATGAATATTCATAAAGTGAATATAGCTAATTAATCACCACTCATATCAAGAGATAGAACATCAGACTGTAGATTTCTGTTTGTTGCCCTGCTGGAGATTTGTTGACCTCCCTGAATCTGTGGATTGGTGATTTTGAAAAGTTCACAGTCACTTAAAAAAAATACTAGGGGCCAGCCAGGTGGCACAGAGGTGAAGTCCATGCACTCCACTTTGGCAGCCCAGGTTTCACGGGTTTGGATCCCTGGTGCGGACCTATGTACCACTCATCCAGCCATGCCGTGGCAACATCCCACGTACAAAACAGAGGAAGACTGCCAAGGATGTTAGCTCAGTGACAATCTTCCTCAAGCAAAAAGAGGAAGATTGGCCACAAATGTTAGCTCAGGGCCAGTCTCGCTCACCCCCTAAAAAAATATATCACCTCTGCCTCATTTTTGCCTTGTTTTCCTTCCTGGACCTCCAATCACACGTGTGTTGGATCTTCTCACTGTCCTCCATATCTCCCAGCCTCTTGTTCTACATTATCCATTTGTTTATCTGGCTGGGCTGCTTTCTGGATAACCTCTTCAGATCTCGCTTCCCATTCACAAATTCTCTCTTCAGCTCTAATTCATAGATACACGGTTTTTAATTGCTATAATAATTTTTATTTCCAGAGCATCACTTTGGTTCTTTTGCAAATCTATTCCTATTTTCAAGCCTTTTAGTTCCTAAGTCATTTTTAAACATTTAAATGATCTGATAATTCTAATGTCTGAATTGCTCGCAAGTCTGATTCTACCATGTTCCTTTTGATGTCCTTTGCTCTGGGTGCTTTGTTGCCTAATATATCTGGTGAACTTTTCTGTAAGCTGCTCATTTTTCTTGGAACTTTATCGGTGGGCATTCTTTAAGGATGAATAAAGGTTCATTCAGGTAGGATCTGCATTTCCTTCTATCAAGTGTCTGAGACCCCTACATTCTGGGACCACTTTAAATTCCTGGCTTGAGGTTTCTCATGTACAAACCCACATGAGGGCTTGCTCAGTTCTCAAGGGAGACCTTTTTTCACTCCAGTAAGTGGCAAGGTTCAGTTTTCCTCTGAGATGCTGAGAGAGCAGATTTATTGTTAGTTCACAGAGGGTGCTGCCCTTTGGGGCCCCAGCTTTATGGAGGGCTCTGCTACTAGGCCCCTTATTATGCACAGGTATTAGGTTGTCTGGGCCCCAGGCACCGAGAGCCCCAAAAACCAATGCTCAGCTTCACGTGGTTTGTCAAATGCCTTCAGGGCATTCTGCTGCTTCTCTTACCTTTTTGCCTGAGTATTCCTTAGTTTCTTGCCAGCTCATTGGTGCATTTAAAAAGTACTTGTCATTATTTATTTACCTGGTATTTTTAACTGTATGCAAAGGATCAGTTCAGGTAACTATTCTACCATGACGCCAGAAACAGAAGTGGTCAGCTATTCCTTCTTCAAGTAACTTCTTTCTTAGATTTTCTTTTCCCAAACTCCTGTCAGCTAAAGGACATCTGTCAGCATGTTAAGATTCTCAGTCTACCCTCTCCCTCTCCGCCACCTTTTGGATCTTCAGCTGTAACTTCCAATTTATTAATCCCTTCCTTGGCTATAAATTATTATTTAGCTCTTCTAGTGAGTTTCTTATTTTAATAAACATGCTTTATTTCCCAGATTTCTAATCAGTTCTTTCTTATATCTAATCCCTGTCACTTGAATTATGGGGGTCAGTCCCTCTTTTATCACTCTGGTGATAAAACAAATGCTCATTTTAAAGCCTGTTAGGATGTTACTGTTTCAGTTTCCTCAGGGACAAATTCTCCCAATTTATGGTTGCTGGTCATTCTTTAAGGCATTGGATTTTCTCACATATTTTTAAATTAATTCATGCATAATAGTTTTTGTTTTTCTGTCTCCAGGTAGGGCAGCTTTCCTGTAGTGTTGTAAATGCAGAAGCAGACCTGCATTAGCCCTCTGGCTCACACTGTGGGGTATCCTTGCTCTAGTCCCAGGGCGGGTGCTGAGCGGAAGCCCAGTTCCCAGTCTCCGGGTGTCTGAGCTCACACTGCCGCAGACAAGCACCCTGTTCCAGTGCAATCCCGGGAAGTGGGGGACGTGCTTTCCTCCTTTATTCCTAGGAAAAGATGCCCAGTCCCAGAGCCCGGCTCTCAGAGGGAGCCTGGCTCCAGTCCTGACACCTGTGGGCATGTCTGATCCACGTCCCTGTGGGAATCAGAGTCCTAGTCTTGTCCCACTGCTCACCACAGCAGCCAGCCACCTACCACTTCAGCCCTCACAGCTGTAAGTTTCTGCTTCTTTTTTACACAAGAATTACCTTCTTAGAGTAGTTGCATAATTTTAACTTAAAGTATTTACTTTATTGAATGAGTGTGCTGGTCCCTGTGTGCACATATTCCACCTCTATGGCCCGAGTCCTCAGCACTGTCTCCCAGAGCCAGGCCATCTCAGCACAGAGGAAAAAACACACTGGGATGACTCAGGGGCAGGAGGCTCAAGGGGAAACCCTGGAGGAAACTCAAGAGTGTTATCATTCTGAGGGAGATGAAATTCTAGTTGGCCACAGGTACCTGGAGTCAGAGTTGTGGCCAGACAGTCACTCCGGAGAGTCAGCTCCACAGAGGAGGCTCATGGTCCAAAAGCCAGGACCTTGGGGGCCAGGGTCCAAGACCACATGTGAAACCCAGCTTACAATACTCTAGTCTCTAGCAGAAAGGGCCACCCTCCCCCACACAGGGGCCCTGTCCTAGGGGAGCCATGGTCTAGCTGACTGGTGAAGTGGGGAGAGGGGCTGCCTGGGGCTGGGCAGAGTGGAAAAGAACAGTGCTGGGGGCCTCAAATCTGGAGCAGCCTAGAGTTGAGGCTGGCCAGGGTATAGCTCACCCCCTTCATGGGCCCAGTCTCTTCCCTCTCCCTCTCACACTCTGAGGGGGTCCACAGAAGACCAAGATGGGAGCCTCTCCAGGCTGTCCCACAGACTACTGGAAGGCCTAGGCCTGTGGGAAGTCTTAAGAATCCTCTCAGACCATGTCTCTGTCACCCAAGGGTTTGAGATGACCATCACTGACCAAGGACTGGGTCAAGACCTAGGCCCAGAAGGTCACACCTGGGCCTTCCCCACTCCTCCAGCCTCAACATGCTCAGCCCAACACAGGGCTTACAAATTAAGCATGACCTCTGTAGCCACCCTGTCTTGGGGCCCGATCCCACAGTGCCCCAAGGACCCAGGAAATATTTGATAGGTTTCTACCACACACAGGGGTCTGCTTGTTTCTATTTCCAGAGATTAAAAAAATGTTCCAAACACATACATATGTACAGACACAGCCAGCCTACAGAGTTGCTGCTGGCTCTGTCCCCACTCAGGGTGGTGGGGACCACTCAGGAGACAAGGAGTTGACCTCACTCCATGGGGGTGGGGGGTTTTCAGACTGATGGGGCAGGGAGTCACTGCTCTGAAGCCAAACTGGAAGTGATGGCAAGCCCAGCTCCTACCCTTGCCCAAGGACAGGCCTGACAGATGGGTGAGGGGACAGGGCACGCCTCAGTCGGAGTCGCAGGCCTCTTGTTCTGTGTTGGCGTCCACCGCAGAGGCCAAGCTATCCTCCTGGCCTTTCAGCCTCTCGCCTGGATAGATGGCAAACAAGAAGGGTGAAGGGGGGGCCTTGTGCTTGGGCCACCACCCAGAGGGCAGGGGTCCCGCCTTCCCAGGCCCTGCACTTACGGATCAGTTCAGCAATGGCTCTCTGGGTCCGCTTTTCTAACTTCTCCAGCTTCTTGGCTACGTCTCTCTTGAGGTCCCTGGAGCAGAGAGGTGGGAAGAGTCTGGAGGCTGAAGGCTAGCCTGGTGTGGCCTTGGGGCCCTCCCTCCCACAGCCCCTCTGGCATTAGCAATCACACTCAGTTGTCTGAGGAGACTGCCCTGAGGAGGAGGCAGGTTTCTCCTCTCTCTCCCTTCCTGCATCTTCCAAAACCCAGCATCAGCCATCCCTCCCAGTCCCAGTGAGGCAGAGACTAGCACCACAGACCCACCCAACACAGGGCACTGAGTGGGTGTGCAAGGGTAGATGGTTTCTCAGGGGTCCTCTCTTGGTCTGGTCCCCTTGGTCACCATCAGGGAGTGACTTGTCCCAGCCCACTGTGGGTCCTGCTTGTCTTCCAGCCACATGTTCACCCTCACCACCGGGAGCTTCCAGAAGTGTACACACACTCAGCGTATTTTCTCTGGCTCTGGGTTTCCTAGGACATATGCCTCATGCTTTTGTTTCATCAAATTAGAACACCTTCAGCTGGTGCTGTACTTGACACAGAATTGCAGGTGAGAGGGATATGCCCACACCTCTGGCCCAAGGTAAAATAGAACACAAGCCCCAGGTCACATGGCCTCTCTCACCTTCTTTCTCAGCCCAGTCACAAGGACACCAGGGAAGAACAAGTACTTCACAGAGAGGGAACTGAGGCCAGATGGGAACAGGCTAACTGATGGCAGCACTGGGTGGCAACTGCCTTTGCCACCATCTTGCCTCCCCCTGTGGCTCCCAGAGGCAAAGGTCGGACTTGCTCAAATGGAGCTCTCTGAGGTAAGGCCCTCACGCTTTCAGAAGGGACTTCTTGAGCAGACTGCTGCTCTTCCGTCTACCTGAGCCCCTCCTCACCCTCCAGGTGTCATCTCCCATCACTTCCCTCTCATTCTCCGTTTATGTCCTTCTCAACAGTGATTTCGGACAGTAATTATCTCGTGTAGCTGTAAGTTTATACTGTCCATATCCCTGCTGTGAGGGTGCAGAAGGCCCAGCCTGAGGCCCATGTCTGGCACCACAAGAGCCCCAATCAGTATGCACTAGTCCTACATGGGCAACACTCACCAATCAGGCTTCCGGGGTGCAAGGTTAGCCAGGTCCTAGGGAGGGAGGAGACAGAAGTCAGGGCTGGAAGGGCCCAACCCCAAGGGAAGTAGGAAGACAGGAGACAGAGGTAGGAAAACGGGAGAAAAGGGAGGATGGAGGAGGGGGGTGAGGGGAAGCAGGGAGGTGGAAAGGAAATAAAGAAGTGGTGAGGGGCCGGCCCCGTGGCCGAGTGGTTAAGTTCACATGCTCTGCTTTGGTGGCCCAGGGTTCGGATCCTGGGCGCGGACACGGCACTGCTCATTAGGCCATGTTGAGGCAGTGTCCCACATGCCACAACTAGAAGGACCCACAACTAAAACTATACAACTATGTACTGGGGGGATTTGGGAAGGAAAAAAAAGAAGTGGTGAAAGGAAGGGGGAGAAAGGAGAGAGGAGAGTAGGTGGGTAAGAAGAGAAGGACCCACAGAAGCAGCGAGGGAGAACAGGGCCACCTGCAGGCACTCACCACTTCCTCAATGACGGGCTCTGGCTTGGCGGCCTCCAGCTGCTCCTTCACCTTCTCTTCCACTAGAGGGTGCAAGACAACAATGGAGGCCTGTGGGAAAGGTGCCCACTCTGCAGCGACACTGCAGTATGATACTGCACACTGCAGCTGCCGGAGAGGGGAAGAGGGTGCAGGCAGGTCCCTGGGGAGATCCTGGGCTTTCTTGCCCCTATCTCTCCCCTTGGCCCCCAACCAGCCAGAGGCAAAGCCCCTGCAAAGGCAGGTTTGGAGGAAGGGCTGCAGTTTCCCAGGATGAAGGCAATCCTGAGGTGAAGGAGGGCCAGCGGGAGGCAGCTGGAGCAGACAGAGCCCAGAACTCCAGTTAGGAATCATCTCAGCCCCCAGCTCCCCAGTTGTGAAATGAGAGAGTTGCCTGGATATATCCAAGGTACGGTTTTTGAAGGGCCTTGAGGACTGGATTTTTCCATAACCTCCACGGGCTCCTGGCCTCCGAGGACATCCTCTGGGTCCTGGACTGGCCGGGGCACAGGAGGCTTTTCTTCCCATCCCACTAAGATGTGTGCTGCCAAGACCAAGGGGACAGCCACTCTGAGGAGGCCTGCACTCACACCTCCTGGCTCCATCCAGCTGCTGAGAGCACAATGGACCTCTAGGGAGACTGACCAGGAGGGCTCTGCCCCTGAGAGGACAGATGCCGAGAGCACTGACAACAAATCTGGGCTCCATGGGCTTCCTCTAACCCCCCTCACAGTTGCCCCATGTTCCCCCATGGCTCCCTGGCCTGCCTCACCTTCCTCCAGCCATAGGTGCTGATCCTGAGGCAAAGAACCAGCTCCACATCCGTCTCTTTCGTCCTGCCTTACTGCCTCCCACCTACATGTGCCAATGTCCCCCCCCAGTGGGGCCCAAACCATGAAGCAAATCACCTGGTAAGTGTGTGACTCTCAGGGGTGAAGGACACGGGGAAGCAGACTGGGGTGTGGCCAAATGGGTAGCACTTCATTCTTTTACAAGATAAATGTAATTACTCATTTATTACTCATAAAATTGAAAATTGATAACAAAATCAAAGAATAAAAACAGCACCAGGGATTTGCATGATAAAGTACCCAGCATCTCCAGTGTGGACGGCTGTGGACAGGCCTCAGCTGGCCAGATGCGCCTGGCTGTTGTGCTGTTCCCCATGCCATGGTGAGACTGGGCAGCCCCTGGCCCGGGGCTCTCTCCCTACTGGTGAGAACATCTCTCCCCATCGTCTGTGTTCTGGCACTGCCACACCTCGAGCCTGGCGAGCATCTGCCTGACACTGCTCTTTGAGCACCTGAGTGGTTGAACCCTCTTCAGGGTCTCTCACTCCAACCCTCCAAGGCCTGCAGGACCCATCTCACCCTGCCCCTGCTGTCCAAGGCTCCAGGGCCACTTCCACTTCCCAACCCAGAGAGGTTCTGAGGGGATGTGGTCTCTTCCCTCGCAGATCCCTGGGAGGCCTCCAAGTCAACGTGTGAGCAGGGCAGAGCAGGCACAGCAGACCTCTTCACTCCCTCACTGGCTCTCTGCTCTCACTCAACTTGTCCATCTGCTGTGAGATGGTGACAGGGTTCTGGAGGCCCAACTTCTAGCCCTGGCACTACAGGTTATTCCCAAGAGAGGGCAACACCAGCCAAGGTGGAGGCAACTGACAGTGCCATGGAGCAGAAGTGGAGAGATGCAGCCACCTACCCGCGACTGGTTTGGCTGGGGGCACCCTCCTCCTCTTCAGGTCCTCATCCTCTGGGACATAGTTCCGCAGCCTGAGTTCCCTGCAAGAGCACAGAGATCAAGCAGAGATGTAGTAAAGTGTGTGACGGTCTCATTCACCTCATACACTTGCAGGTCAGACTGTGATGAAGCCACACAAGCTGGTTATTTCCCGACTTTCCTAGGGTCTCTGGAAATGGCCTGGTGAAGAGGGAAAACATGGGAACAGAAGCATCATTGGGACAGGCACCCTCTCTGAGCCTCAGCCCCCTTATCTGCCAATTAGCAAGCAGGCTGGCTGCTCTCCCAAGGCCCTGCCTGCACTGGAGGCTCTCGTCCAGAGCTGGGGCCAGGGATGCTCGGGGAGCATCCACTAGCTGTCTCTCCTAGATTACCTCCATTTAACAGTTAAGGGAACTGAGGCTCAGAGAGATTGCACCATTTTCATAAGGTCACACAGTGGTGGCTGCAGCATCTGAGACCAAGACAAGGTATGACTCCAAGTCAGGCCAGAGCTCCTGGGCTGAGCTACTCCTAAAAGAGAAAGCCAGCACTCACCCACTGGCTCCTCAAGCCCAGCCTCCTTCTCAGAGCCTTTGTGTCCTGGAGCCACTGGTACACAGTTCCTCAACAACTTGTGGCAAGAGTCTGGGTGTGCTGGGAGTGGCTGGCAAAGGCTGAGGGACGGGCATGACAGTGTGCAAGACTGGGAAAGCCACAGTCCACCTGGACAGCCATGAGAACTGCAGAGGCCCACTCCTGCAAGAGGCCTTTCAAATGCTACCAAGGCAGAGCCCAAGACCTCTGTGAATGGGGAGGAGCCACAAGAGACCAGGATTACACACTGCGATGGGCCAGCAACAGTGGTGTTATTTTCCTCCTATCTCAGTCTCCTCAGGCATGGCTGGCTGCACCAAGCTCTCACTGGGGACCTTCCCAGCTCAGCAGCTCATCAAACCCCAATCCACACACCTAGAAGCTTGTCTGCAAGAGGAGAAGCCCTTGGCTAAGTGCACAGGGTGGCAAGGGGAGAGTTCCTAAGGCTGCTGCTTATTAAAGGCAAGACAGAGAGAGACACGGGAACAGACCATCTAGGTTCCAGGGGAGTGGAAGCTGTCCCCCTACCTGTCAGCCAAGTGAGACTGGGATGTGGGTGGGTCCTCCTCCTTCCCCACTACTTCCTCTGAGCCCTTTCAACGACTGCTGGTCCCTCAGAAGTCCTACGCCTACAGAACAGGGAAGACTGTCCCAGCAGGAGGCCTCCTACAGTCTGTCATCTACCAAACCCTCTGTCCATGCCAGGCAAAAGCATTGCTGACTTCCATAGCCCCCGGGCAGGCAAGCTCTTCCAGAGGTGAGGCAGCAGGTGTCTATGGCCACACAGTTAGCAAGTGGCAGTGGTCTGAGCTTGGAGGCTTTCTGATGCCAAACCAGTCCCCTATTCACCAGCTCCACCTGCCCGCTTCCCCTCTGCCAGGGCCCCTGAGGCCCACAGCCCTGGGGTTAGGCTAAACCTTTGTGCCCAGGGGGCAGTACCAGCATGGCCTGTGTAGAGGAAGCCTGCCACGCACTCCCAGGGTCTGCTTCCTCTAGGGAGCAGGGACACCCACCCCATCCCCATCCCCTAATGCCTGCCTCAGGCCTGGTGGTAAATGTCAGGTCTCACCGGGAGAGAAAGTGGTGCAAGATCTGGTGCACTGACTTTCGTTCATAACAGGGTGGGGAGAAAAGCGGAAGAGAAACTGGGTGTGGGAAGAAAACTGCAGGGATTAGTGAAAAAAAACAACAACAAACTGTCACTCTCAGAAACTGGCTCCCGGGTTCTGTGAGAAATCAGCAAGAGAGGAGTGCAGAGAACTGTACCCAGAGCTTACAGGAACAGCACCAAGGCCCCACACCTTCAGCCCACAGGTGCCTGGGCTTCAGAAGGCCAGGTGGAAGGAGGGAGGACACAACAGGGAGACAGAGAAAGGCCAGAAGCGACAGGAAAGAGTAGCATCGGCTGGTGGGCTGACTGTATAACACTCTTCTGCCCCCCACAGCTGGGCCACTCACTGTCCTCTGCTGCTCGCTAGAGTTGAACACTGGGGTCCCAGTCACTGTGGGACTGTCCCATTCTGTGCCTCTTTTTCCACATCTGTAAACAAGGAGGCTATGCTGGGTGGGTCCAGCTCTGTCGAGCTACATTCAAGCCGTCCTCTGGTTCTCTCTGTGAGAGCTACTGAAGAGACTGTCCCTCACAAATGCCCAATGAACTGCCCCTCCTACCCCACCCCACCCCTATCACCACCAAAGGCCAAGAACCTCTGGGAGAGGTCATGGGCACTGGGTTCTGCTCAGGGGGCTTGGCTTTTCCAACACAGGACCAAGGTTTAACTCCTTGTTTCTGCAAACAACTCAAAAAACCTGACAGTGGGTGTATTTAAAGAAATCTATTTGTTGGCCTTGGGGAAGTACCAAGGCACCGAGGATCTGAGGGGCTGCAGCCACAGAGACAAGAGAAGTGCAACAAGGAGGGCCCTGACACTGGGTGTCTCTTTCCCCTTAAAGCATCTGTCCATTTACAAGCAGAGGCTGAAAAGCTGAGACCAAGCAGAGCTTCCTGCGATCTCAGGGGGCTGAAGAGACAAAATCTGCTTTCAGTGAGAGTAAGCCTCTTCATCAGTCCTGAAAGGGTGGGTCAGGGCACCCTGAGCCTAACTGCCTGCCAGAAGCTGGAATAAATTGTCTTGGGAGGAAAATAAATTATTCAGAGCCCCAAATTACCTCTAGAACTTTTCACACACAATGTCCAGGATTCAATCAAAGCCATGAGAAAAAATAAAGACACTAGAAACACACTCACGGGAGATCCAGATATTGGACTTATCAGAAATAAAATATAAAATAACTCAAATTAATGAAAGTTCAAGAAGGTATACCACAGAATGGAGAATTTCAACAGAGAATCTAAAACTGTAAAAATTAATCAAATGGAAATTCTACAGCTGAAAATATAACCAAAATTAGGAACTTAATGGGTTCAACAGCAGTTTAGATATAGCTCAAGAAAGGATTAGTGAGCTGCAAGACAAGCCAGAAAGTATTCAGACTGAGACAGAGAGGGAAAAATGTTGGAAAATACGAAAGAGAGCATAAGAGACATATAGAACATGGTGAAAAGATCTAATATACATAACATGCAATTAGAGACCCAGAAGAAATATTTAAAGAGATAATGACTGAAAATTTTACAGAATTAACAAAAAACATCAAGCCATAGATTAAAGAAACACCATGAACTCCAAAGAAAAGCATACTTAGGCAAATCACTGTCAAATTCTTAAACACCAAAGACAAAGAGAGATTCTTAAATAAAGACACCAACCTCAAAGGAGAAGCTCAAACTGATAGCTGACTTCTCAACAGAAACAATGGAAACCACAAGACAATGGAGTGATACATGGGAAGGGCTGAGAGTAAATAAAATGCCACACCAGAATGACAAATCTAGGTAAAATAGCCTTCAAAGAAAGGCTTCTCCAGACAAAGAAGAGTTGGGAAAATCAGTCATCAGATCAGAGGATGTGTTCTTAAAAAATACATAAACGGAGTGCTTTAGATTGAAGAAAAATGATCTCAGATGGAAGCATGAAATTGCAGGAAGGAATGAAACGGATGAGAAAGAGTAAATATGTGGGCAAATCTAAATGAACATTGACTGTATAAAATAGTAATAAGGACTTGACTTGTGGGATTTAAAATATAGCAACAAAGCACAGGATACAGGAATAGTGGCAAATGGTGTTAAGGGGTTCTGAGGTCCCAGTCCTTTGGCAAGTTAAGGATGTATGCTGTATCCTTATGGAAACCCACTACAGTGTCGAGAGCAGCCATAGCTCTTGGAGATGGGGTAGATGTGACTACACGGTGCCAGCCAGGAAACTCTGAAGCTGCCTGCACTCACTAGGTAGGCACTGGCATCTGGAGTTCACTCTTCTGGAGGCCACTGGAGCCAAACACTGGTTCTGCTACCCCCATTTGAGAATGAGGAGGCTGCTGGGGGAAGAGGTGCTAGAGACCTGGACTTCCAACAGTATGACCTGGGTCCAAACCCCAGCTTTGATGTTTTTGAGATATGGATAGGAAGGGTCATGTTTTCACTGGCCTCCATATGGAAATCAAAGATATCCATCTGTCGGGGCCAGCCCCATGGCTGAGTGGTTAAGTTTGCGTGCTCCGCTTCAGCGGCCTGGAGTTTCACTGGTTCAGATCCCAGGCGCAGACGTGGCACTGCTCATCAGACCATGCTGAGGTAGCACAACCAGAAGGACCTACAATCAGATACAACTATGTACTGGGGGCTTTGGGGAGAAGAAGAAAAAAAAAGGAAGATTGGCAACAGATGTTAACTCAGGTGCCGATCTCTAAAAAAAATATATACATACAGTTCACTTTCATTAAAAAAAAAAAAAGGATATCCATCTCTCAGGAGGCTGTGTGTAGGTGACGCAGGTTGTGGACATCAACACTGAACAGAGTGATGTCCTGTAGGGCAAAGGTCAGCTCTCTCAGGATCGCCTCCTTCCCACTCCACACTGCTGCCCCAGAAGCCCCTCCCCAAACCCTGAGAGCTCTATGTGCTATGACGATAATATGGCAGACGGTCCCAAGATGGGACAGTCAACCCTCCAAAGTCCAGAGAGTAACCCTTGAGTGCAGTTGGGAATGAGCAGCCCAGCAGACACATACATGGCCCATTAAGGACCCTCAAAATACCCCCCAATGAGCTGGGGTGCCCAAGGAGATAGAAAGTGGTCCTTGTGTGGCCCACAGGGGGGCAGGGGTGCGCCTATTTCTGCACACCGCACACTATGTGGCAAGGCTGGCCAGGGCACACCACCAGCAGCTGAGGCCTAGCCAAAGAACAGCCTCCTCCCTACTCTCTCCCTGCCTGCCTCCCCAGTGTCTCTGGTCTCCATGAGCCTGGCATTAGTGAGACTAATGAGTCCTAGAACCTGGGCCACCCAAGAGCCTGGCTTCTTATCTTACTCATTGCTGCAGCCCTTTCTGCTCAGAACTG